CCGGCCCTAGATCCAAGCCAACAGCTTCAGCCCCTTCACCCCCTTCACCATCATACACCGCAAGCATTCTCTCCAGGAACGAAACCGCCGAGAATCCTTCCGCCGGGGTATGCAATTCCAGTGTGGACCCGCACTTCGCGATTGTGGTGACCGTCTCCACGAGGTTCATCTCGTCGTCCGCGCCGACCATGGTGATGTCGCCCCGTTGGGCGCCGCCATCGCTAAATTGGAGGATATGGATCGGATTCGAGGATTGGACTTGACGGATACGGTAGGTTCGGTTTGGGGTGCACAGATTGACATACTCGCAATTTTCGGAGTCCGTGCTTGAGTTCGGAAGGTGTGATGTTGAGGGGGATTTGAGCTCAAGGCTGGTGATGCGTTAGGTAGATTCTCGTACGAATGAAGTGATGAGGGGGTAATACGTTGGTGCTTCCTTTGAAGAGAGGAGCTCCGCTAGTTCTGGGGGTAGCTCGAGTAATCTGAATCCTTGCTGGGGGGATTTGTGTGTGAAGAGGATGCTTCGGGCGGCTTGGGTAGACATGGTGGTAGGTGTTTTATTGCCGCTGGCGCTTCGGGGTTCTGCCTGTCGCTTCAAATAGTTACTTGCCAGTTAGGTATACTGAAAAAGTGTCCGTAATGTGTGTTCCAATAGGTGTAAACATTGATGTACGCAGTACAGCTGGAGTCAGAAAGTTCCTGGACGCGGTACGCGCCATGTCCATGATAATGATGGGCGCACAGACCATTGCTTAATGAGTGACCCAGATCTACTTCGATTTCGGAACATCTTTTGGCATGCATGAAGTCTGTATTGGCCCCATCCCCACAACCAGTTTTTCTCCTCCTTGGTAGTGAGTTATCTGCAATGGATGTGAAGTCTGTTCTCTGATTGTTCCTGCATTCGAAAACGACCAAAATACCGATTGAAGCCCCAAGAACTCGAGAAACGTGAACTATATCATGGAATGAGACATGGCTGAATGAAGCAAAAACTGTCTAAGTAGATTTACAAAAATGCCGGTCCGTAGAAGCTGCCTAAACGGAAGGGAAAAAACCACACTGCAACCAGTACAGCGATTGATGCATCTAAAACAATATAAGAATGGAGGAAGCATGATGTTTGTATCCAGGAAGTACGTGAGATCCTGTGGAGGGGGCCCCCGGGATCACTAGGGAGAAGCAGCCAACACGGCTGTCTAGCGGAGACGACGATAAAGACCCGGGAAAAGTCGTACCAAAGGTGGCCATGGAAAAAAAGGGTTCGGCGGGAGAACAGCTCGACTGGCGCCAGGATGCGCAAGATCAATCCAGATCAAATCAAGGTTGAAGGAAGCTTTAGGTGCTCTGCTCTGCCTCCTAGGAGAGCTAAGAATAGTCGCCTTATTGACTTCCTCGCACGACGGGCGCAGCATTGACACTTGGCTTTGGCGAATCAGCGACAGGACCACTTGCAGAACCCTGCAAGTCTCTAACCTCTGCCACCTCTGCCTCTGCCGCCCCTGTCACCCCATCGACCTTGATCTGGCCTGCCTCCTGCTGCTCATTTTGAATCGAATCCTGCACGAAGGCTTTGTCGATATCCCATTGTCGCCCGGGGTCCTTGAAGAGGGCCTGGACACGCTCAGCTCGTTCGGCTTGCTCCTTCTCTTCCTTCTCCCTAGCCTTTCGCTCCTGCTCCATTTCTTCCATGTGGCGAAGATCGTCTACACTGGGTTCGTAAAGATGCCAGATCGTGTAGTGAGGAAGACCGATGACCGAGAATCCCATGCGCTTAGCCATCTAGTGAAGTTTAGCATTTTGCGCACTGCACAAGAAGTCAAGACGACTCTTACCTTTCCAAACGCTTCAGTTTCAGCGTGCTTCTCGAAACTGAAAGCGGGAAAATGAACCCCAGAGCGAAACACCTTTGCCTTGGCCAGGATACTGACACCTCCGACACCGTCCAACTCCATCTCCATGTCGGGATCTCCATATGGATCGCGAAGGTAGGCGAGGTGAGGCCGCCAGGTAGCATACTCGGCATATCCCTCTACAATCACCGCATCCTCGTCCAAAGTTTCAGCTAGAGCCAAAGCCGTCTCCGACTCCTGCCACGAGTTCAAGTCATACGGTTGTTCCCCACCCAACCAGTCAGGGAGTGGTCGCCAGACATCTAACATAACACCAATTAGAACGGAAACCGCAAGAAGTGAAACGGTGCAACTTACTGGGTACAATGACATCCTTGTCATGCCGCATCAAGTCTTCCAGGATAGTGCGAGGAGCAGTCTCGACATCGGCATCTCTCCAGTAAACCCAGCTGTGCGTCGGACGTAGAGTAGCACTCAGCAGCCAATTCCTCGCCTGGGCCATCAGTTTTCTCCGCCCCGCTTGTGCAGCAAATCCATGTCTACTTTCCACGTCCTGCTGCACCTTCTGCCCAAAATCCTTTTGGATGACCGAGATCTCCCCAAACGACATCTTGGGATCGGGATCGTTTTGGACCTCCTCGAGCATACGCGTCAGCATTCCCAACGTATCATCCTTCGAATCCGACACCAGGAACGCTAGATCAATGAGGTTGTGAGGGTAGGTGAGATTTCGGAGGTGTGAGAAGAACATTGGCAGATGCGACGAGGCGTCTCGGAGAGGTGTCAACATAAGCACACGCTCCTCTTGCTCCCATCCTTGCGCCGTGCCTTTTACTTTGGACAAATCATAATATCGGACAGTCTGTAGCTGTAAATCTTCGCTGGAGTGTAGAAGTCCAAGGGATAATGTGGGAAGAATCGCGGCTCGCCAGGAAGGAAAGATGAGGACGAGTACTAGCAGAGAGATGCCAGCGGTGAGACATAGCCGCTGGATGAGCTGTCTTCGACGTCGTAGGGCGGATTGCGGACGTGGTTGAAAACTAGCAGTACAGACAAGAAATCAGCCCGAATTCAAGACGCTGTTTGTGTCTGCTACTCTGATAAATCTGCGGAAAGGCGATCCCGCGCAAATGACCAAACCAAAAGCCACTTACCGATGAGGAGAGATGGAAAATGCTCTGCTCTGCCCGCGGGGGTAGGCAGAGTAGCCATTCGCAAAGGCGTGATGCCTGTTCATTTCTCGCGGTATCACAGCATGTGTAGATGCAGATCAATTATCCAGAAGTCACAGGAACCAGAAGGCCCCTCGATCCTGGAGAAAGCAGACAAGCGAATACCAGCACGGCAGTGGCTCAAATCCCGCCTCGATTACGTGTGTCAAGGCGGAAGAGACGAAAGTGGTTGCAATTTGGCTGCAAAGGGGTGGAATTGCGGATGTATACGATGGGAATGTAGATCTTCAGAGTCCAAGGAGAGACCAAGTTCGATATAAGAATAGTTAACTAAAAGACAAAATCAATGTAGTATCCTCAAAACTAATTAATCAACTAGACAAAGGAGATTAATTAGATGCATGTGCGTGCTAGATAGGCGTTGGAACTAAGGTAGGAAAGCTGGCTGGATCGAGAACCAAACCAGGCCAAGTGTTCCTGTCCAGCCAAATTGTTCCACCGCCTTGATTCGATGTCATCAGCCACTGTGTCATTCATCCGGAAACAGACAACCTTCAAGACGTTTGCGGCCATGCAACATACTTATCTTCCGCAACGAAGCGAGTAAGATAGAATACCATTGGTGATTGCTTCTTGCCAAGCTCCAGATCTCGATTGTTTCACAGTTATTATGTACATAAAAAGAAAGCATTGAAAAAGGTACCTATCCTGTCCCACGGCAAAACTCCCGAAGAATGCTCCAAGCCAAGCCAGATGCCAGTGATCGCCATGTGTCGCAGCAGATAAGAGAAGGAAGAATGAGAAAAAAAAAAAAAAAAAAAGGAGGAATTGAACACCGAGAATCCAAGTTGGAGAACTTTTCTTTCAATTGCCGTGCACCCGCGAGATCCTCGAGTCTGGCGAGCCCATTCCCTTGACACCAATCTCGACCTGCCGCAACATTTTCTTCAGCAGTGTATCCATTAGGGGCGGGTCTCGCAGTGCCGTAATGACGGATCCGGCCTCGTAGTCGCTGCCCAGGATATAATAGCGCTCCCTGCCCCAGAGCTCCACTGTTTCCCTCTGGAATGCGACTTTCGCAATCACCTTGGCTGGAACACTGGCCTTGTTGATAGCGCTCTTGGAGAACACTCTTAGGAATGGCCCGAGGCTAGATCGGGTTGATTGTGCCATTCGGACCGATAAGGGAGCATCTGTCGTCAGATGGCTATTCCCTGCCAATCCTCCGGGGTCCAGAGTGTATATATTTAGTGACATGTTGGCAGTCTACATATTGCATTGTCAGTATTGATCGGCTACTCTCACGCACAAAGCTACCTAGAAACTTACGAGGACCAGACTCCGCCGTAATGCATACATGGCGGCACTCATGATTAGCTTACTACTCCCGAACCGCGCATTCCCTTCCTTTGCACTCAAAGGAGTGCCTGGAGGTTTCGGTGCATTGTCTGGGTTGTCGCCGTCGAAATAGCTCAACGAGCCACTGGATATGGCGGAGCATCCAATATTGATCACTCTGGCACCACCGTCCGGCGTGCCGTCGCCGCCTCGGAAAGCTTCAAGTAGGCTGACCGTCAACAGAAACGGTGCAATGCAATTGACCTGGTAGACCGGATCGTATCCATCCGGTGTGACTGGATCGGCGACATAAGATGCCATGGCGGCGGAATTGACTAGGAGCATCACCGGCGGGATCTCTTTATTTCGGACCCTTTCCACAGTATTCTCAGAGAAGCTGACGACCGAGTTGAAACTGGCCAGGTTGACTTTGGCCACTTCGACAGATCTAGGCCCGATGAGGCGAATCTTCTGTAGCAGGTCCTTCACACTGTCGGATCTGATATCGCGCGCAAGAAGCAGCAGATGCACGAAAGGCTGCGTTTTTGCGATAGCGATGGCTACCTCTGACCCGAGGGTTCCATTGCCCCCGGTAATTATTGCAGTCCCTTGAAGTGGTTTCGACATGATGAAGATGGAAGATTAGGTATATAGTCTGTCGGTTCAACGCACCGGTGTAGTTAAGATGTAGACACTTGTGTATCGATCATCAAATCAACATGGCATAGTTTGCATTGAAACAGAAGAAAGTAGTATGGCAATGCAAGCACAGGGGGTTAATACTTGGATGTCACGGTTTCAGAGTTATATATATCAAACGATCGTCAGATGAAAAGAAGTCTCACAAAGTTTGCACTAAAAGAGGGCCGGTTTAGGGAGGACGTCTAACAAAAGAATAAAACTGCAGTCAAAGCTGAGAAACGAATGTATAACTTTATAAGAATGATCCCAGGCGAGCGATAGAAGAAGAAGGAAAGAAAAAAGCAAAGGCTGAGATCGATGCCAGAACTGCAAATAAGGACGGCGACGATCTGAACAGAACCAAGAAGCCGCGCGCTGAATCGAAACTTGCTGGACTAGGTTATAGACTAGTCAATGAGCCGGCGGACTGAGTGGGGGAAGAGTCCACTTGGTGAAGCAAAGGAAAGCAAAAGGATGAATATGTCAAGACGATGATGATTTGAGTCTTTTGACAGGCAAGAAGGTTGACTGAACTGACTTCAAAGTCCAAGTTTTAGCCTCCATCATTGTGGAAGAGAGTGAGGGTATAAAAATATCTACAGATCTGTGTTGGATGATGGTATCAGAATACAAATAGCCCGATTCTGTCGGTTTCTGGAAAGCGGAGGGTTTCTTCTCCATAGTCCAGACACTCATCCATCCATCTGTTGCAGTGAAAGTGAGACATCTTCTAGTACAAGCGATATAACATCCAATGGTGATGGTCTATAGAGACAGGCTCATGTCTGACAGAATGACAAATCCAACTGCTCTGAACAATGTCCGGTCCGACACTTGGAACTCTCTCTAACTGCAACTATTCCACTTGACAAGTGAACAACTGCCGATGAACAACACATGAGACAAATACAGAACTTTATTCGACCAAATTGACAAGTCCAGAAATTAGCACACGATTATTGACGGTGGCGGTCTTGGCTGCTCATAAAATGGCGCGATCGAACGCCTGTTCGTATGCAGCCAACAATTTCCGTTGGCCCATTAGATAGATACTAGCTCATTGGGTGATCACTGGGATGGGATTAACAGGCTAGGCTGATTCTAAGGTAGTCGGATGCGAAGAGCTAGAACTGTAGAACACTAGAACTACATGAATAAGTTCTCAATTTTAACTTCCAGATACTGTGTCGAGTTGTCGACTCATCGGATATTCCATCAGGGGTTAGACTGCACACTGCAGGATCACGATAAATCGGAATATTCGGATAGCCTAGGGAGAGATGAATCAAGCCATCGGTTGCTCGCTTCAAAATACCCAAATCATCGCGAAGATGCATGCTGACGACCGGACTGGTCTGAATGCAAACACCGCCGAATCGTACCCAACACGTGTCTATACCAAAATTTGGACCCCGAGCTGCATCGTTTGCGACTGCCAGTCAGCCTGATTCTCTATCGGGCTCTACGAAAAACTGGGGCGAAATTGGCGCTGCGCCCCTAGATCTGATGCATAGCCATGTGGAAGATGATTTATTCAGCTGATCGGGAGCTACTGGCGTCTAGCTTATTGATTCTATGGTTTTTGATGGCTTTTCTCATGCAGACACCTCAACTAAGATCTTGACATGCTTGTCCCGCTCGTCAATCAGAGCCTTGAACCCCTTCTCCACCACGTCTTCCATCTGGATCTTGCTGGTGATCATCGCTCGAGGGGAGAGCCTTCCTATATGCTCGTCAGCATAGCCAGTAACAATCGGGCTCCATAAAACAGAAGGAACATGCCTGATGAAATCGCATCAATGACGGCTTCGAAATCACCGTCGTCACAGATCACAGCGCCAATGACATGTTTCTCGTATAGAACGATATCAAACGCATCGATCCTCGGCTTCTCCTCCCATAGCGATACTATGGTCACCGTTCCCCTCGCCCGAATTGCCTGAACAGCCGTGTCCAACCCCACCTGCACGCCGGAGCACTCAAAAGCGATGTCTGCCCCTGCCCCTGCTGTCATTGCACGGACTGAAGCCACAAGATCATCCGTCCGCGGATCAATGACCTCACTCGCACCTAGTTTTCTCGCAAACTTCTTGCGCCGGGAGGATATTTCGGAGACTATGACGGACTTGATTCCGCGGGCTTTCAGGACCTGAACGACAGCGAGACCGATCGGCCCGCCCCCTACCACGAGGACGGTGTCGTCGGGCCGGACGGAGGCGCGACTGACTGCATGCCAGGCCACGGTAAGGGGTTCAACGAGGGCTGCATATGCACCGCAAGGTTACTCAGCCACCCGATCCTATCCTTTATCGTCCGTAGAAAGCCATAAACTCACCCCCAAGATCAAGAGGGAAACCCTCCGGCAACAGAATCCCATGCTTCTCACCTACAACAACATGATCCGACAAACCTCCTGCGTCGCCTGCTTAAACATCAGCGCCACATCTCTATTCATTCGCTCAGAAACTCACTCACTGCTATACCCGATAAATCCCAAATTCCGACAACAGTTCCGCCAACCCGCTAAACAACACGCACAGGTCCCATCATACAGGTTCGGTCTGACAGCCACGCAATCACCGACTTTGAGTCGCGAAACGCTGGCGCCAACCTCCACTACCACACCGCTGAATTCATGGCCCAGGGTGACGGGGACGGTCCCACCCGTGATTGGATGCGGTGTTGAGGGAATTGTGATGGGACCTGCGAGGTACTCGTGTAGATCTATGTGCCATGTAAGCCCCGTCAGATTGACCACCAAAGAATGGAGATGAGCATACCGCTTCCGCAGATCCCTACGAAGGCAGGTCGAATCTATCCATGTTAGTCTACTTGCTTAGGAGAGCAGGATAGGAGATGCCGGTAACCTTGACCTGACCCTCGTCGCAGACGGGCTCATCGATCTCGTCGACGCGGATATCGCCGCGGCCATGGAACCGCACAGCTCTCATTGTCAACTGGAGACCTTGAGCTTTTCTGGCTTGGGTGAGTTAATGTTGTATCAGTTACTGTCGGGACTGGGTCATCGGAATTCTCAATTTCCCCATTTTATATGGCGAAATGAGCTGCGGAACTAAGCCGCGCGAGGAGTAATTATATGTGATGGTTTATACTCTAGACATTATTAGACCAGACTCTAGAAACGGTCTTTGCAGGTAATGAGGGGTCGGCTAAAGCTCCTAAGAGGGGCTTGCGGGGTGACTGTTACCTTATTGCCTTGGCTTCCCTCGAGTACTGAGATTGGAGATACTGATGGACTAGCCAAAGAAAAAATTAGAAAAAAAAATATTAAAACATTCATTTCTCGTTCGACATGTCGTTGATGCTAAGAGAGGGAAATGCTATTTATGTTGCTGACTCTGCACGAAGTCGTAGACCACTCCTTGCAACCATTTCCACTCATTGAACGACAACAGGTAGAATTCACTTTTTCCTCAATAAATTCTCTACCGAACAGTAGCTCCCTTCAGAGACTTGACTGTACAGACACCTCCGGTTTTAGCGACCAATTTGCCCAGGGCCGGCTTGCCCTCCTGGCCCTGCACGGCGGGAACCGCGCTTATATCGAACGCAACCTCCAGGCTGTCCGTGGTGGTGAATCCAGGCTGGAAGGTCTCCCAGACCTTCTTCTTGGGGTTGAGCACCTTCTCGGGCTCGCCGTCAAACCAACCCTCGAAGCCGATGCGGGTACCGGCAGGCGCGTCGGCGGGAGGGTTGACCAGCTCGACGGGTCCAGCGTGCGAGTCCTCGCCTTCGGCAACGCGGGGCGATGCTGCCAGAACCATGGCTGTAGACTTGATACCACGCATAGTTACTGGCTTCAGGTTGCAGACGGCAACGATCTTCCTGTTCTGCATCTCCTCCAGGGGAACGAGGCCATTCAGACCCGAGCATACGGTGCGAACGGTCTTGCCGGTCGCCTCATCCAGGGAAGTGTTCTCGGTGCCGGGAGCATCGCCGCAGTCGATGGTAGAAACGTAGAGGGAGTCCGCGTTGGGGTGGTTGATGGCACGGAGGATGTGACCAACGCGGAGGTCGATGAGCGATGGAGAGGGGGGAGCAGCGGGCGCGGGAGCAGGCTTGGGCGCCTTCTCCTTCTTTTCCTTCTTCTCTTTCTTGTTGACCTTGGGCGGCGCGCCAGCGGCGGGGGCAGCGGCCTGATCGACCTCACCGCCATTGGCCGCCTTCTCGGGCTTGCCCTGTCCGACGACGAGAGGCTTGCCAGCATCCGGGTTCTGGGCCGCAGCCTTCTCCCTCTTCTTGCGCTCTTTCTCTTCCTTGGGGTCCACGGGCTTGGGAACGAACCGCACGTCGTTCACGTCGATGCTGATCTTCTCCTCGTCGGGAATCTGGAGGGCGAACAGGCGGCTATTTTGCACAAAGTCGATATGACGCACGATGTGATGGTATCCTTGCTCGCCCGTGCGTTCTTCGGGTGTCCATTTCTCAACGACGGGAGCGAGCAGAGCGTATGTGGCGATATCAGCAACGGACGGCTTGGTTCCCAGCAAAGTTGTGCGCGCGGCCAGGTGGCTGTTCAGCTGTCGGAGGATGGTCGTAACCACGGACTTCTCGTCTTTGCTTAAAGCACTCTGCAGACCAGAGATGGTGTCTAGCCATTGCTTGACCGAAGCCTGCTCCTCAACGGAGAAAGTCGTCAGAGGGAAGATCTTGGGCGAGGCATGGGGAAGATCAAGCTCTGTAGCGTCGGGAGAAACTGCAGTGGGGTACGAGCGGTAGAGGAGGGAGAGGAGAGAAGACTCGGGCGCAGAGTTGATAGCCATATTTGCGAATGGGCGACTGGCGAAGGAGGACAGAGGCGAGGTGGTGAAGCGAAGAAGAGGGGCAGCAGAAGTCGGCCTCAGGCGTAGTAATAATAAAGAGGGTTGACTGATCCGCGGGGCTGTTGTTCTGGCGGCCCCCGTCAGACTCACGGAAACCTTGAGGAAATTCAACTTGACTAAGACCCAGATCCCTAGTGTGATGGGATCCTTGAATAATTGACTTGATAGAAGAGCTTAGATTACAATTGGATTTGGCTAGATACCATCGGATTCTTCTTGCTACAGCATCTCTCGGCTTCCGCGGTGTCGATGACTGACTGCATCCGGTTAGTCTCTTTTTACCTTCTTTTTATTCTTTTTTTTCCCCTGAGCTTTAGTGCTGGATGACTCAGCTGAGTCATCTAGTTAAAACATAATTATGTTTATGCATACTGTGTGCAAGAATATGCACACTTGCTTTCTCCTCTTCGAGAGACGGCAGATTTCAGTCTGCAATATCGAATTTCAAGTCGCAGTGGATTATTTGAATCTATGTAGACAGTCTATCTGTATTGGAGTTCAGCTGTAACACCCAAAAGACAATACGTTTTCGACGACAAGCAATCTGACTACTTGGGCGACGCAAGTCCAATAGATGGGCCTCGCATGTCGAAGACAACGAAGAAGGCCTTCAGGAAGACATCACCAAGAATCTGCATCGAAGTGCCCTGGTTGGATTGGACACCACCGAAACATACTACAAGACGTCATGTCAGAACATGAACTTTCGTACACGAAGATCGATTGACTTACCAGTTTGACCCGTCGTTTTGTTAATGCCAACCTCCGCAAAATCCAGGTACGTGCCAGGTACCGTTGCCAAGTGCTTTGCGCCGACAGCAACCGCGAGGTTAGGCAGCTCAGTACCACAGGGATAGATGTAACCGCCGGCGCTGCTGGCATACTGCGCGCCTTTGACCTGGGCGTAGTAGGCATTCACCACTGTGTCATCGAGAAGCATCAATGAAGTGCCGGTGTCGGCGATCGCAGTAGGAGTATTCTGAAGTGTCTGGATAGAACCATCTCCAACCTTGTAGTGAGCCGACTGAAACTGCCAGAAACCGCTCGATGAGTCCACTGTCACGTTGATCATGTCGCCTTGGTACTTGCTTTGATCAATGATTCCGAACTCGTACTCGCCGACACCATCGCTCTTCAGGTGCGCCGTCATCACAGGCTCGTCCAGACTGTCGGCGATATTGTCGAAGAACGTCTTTTGCTGCTGAGGCTTGACGGTATTAAGGGAGGAAAATCCCAGGCCAACGAGACCGTTCGAGTAGGTATCTTCAACGAAAGAATCGGACACGCTGGTCGGGATACCAATCGCTTGACTGGTGACGGTTGCGCCACCAATGTCAACGGTATCAGTTCCGACGCCGCCATTAGCGTAAGACGAATCGCCATATTTGATCTCAAAAGTAGCTCCTTCTATCTTCTTGAAGGTGGACGAATTGGAAGGATTGAAGACAGTGTGGCCGACCTGAGCACTCTGCGGAAGCTCAGTATTCATCACCCAGCTGGTGAAATCCCCAGTCAGTAAGCTCTGTTGGTGAAGTAATTCAAATCACTGAACTTACAAATCTGCTGAGCCCGTGTCAAAGTTCACCACTATTTTCTGCCCCCCGATTGTCACAGGGCTGACGAAAGCAGCATCACTCTGGACAGATTTCGCACTGACTGCACCGGTCTGCTCTGGCTCCTCAGTATCGGCAACGAGTACATTGGCAGCGGAGCTTGAGGGAGATGTCGTATTGAGAGGCTCAAAGTCCGACAGATCGACGCCAAAAGTCGTTGGAACTATGCCAAATTTCCGATAGGCTCTGCGCAGAGCACTTGGACCTTGAATGGAGTTTCCACGCTTGATCCGCTCAACCTTGAAGGACCTGCCCTGAGATTGAGCTCGTGGCGACGTTGGTGCAGCGAGCACACCATAGCCTAGGAGCAGCAGGAAGAGAAAAGACTGTAGTGAATGCATATTGATTCGATATTGCGTGTAATTCCAGTCTTCAAATCAATGATAGGATTTGCTACTTCTAGCAGCTGAGGATGGAAAGATTCCCAACAAGACAGAGATCAAGCCGGAAGTAGATTAAAAGAGCGTGTACTCCGTATGCCCAAGTCCAGACTTGGGCACCTGCGAATATTGTAAGAATAAAAGAAGAAAGGAAAGATGCAAAGAAATGGATGGGAAAAGGAACAGCCAGAAGAGCTGCCAGCCAGAAGAGAAAGACAAAGAAGTGAATGAATTGGTCTAGTTAAATCGTCAAGAAGGCCCCAAGGGAAAAGCCCATGATAATAAAGACCCCAAACGCCCAAACGCCTCCTTTGAATAATCACGATGGAGCATCAAAAGTTGAGCTTGAGCTTCACCCCCGTCTAAGAACAGCCAAGATGGCGATTAGCTCCCATGTTGGTAAGCCGGCCCACTCAGGCGAAGAAACCAGAGACAGCGCAGGTTGACTTGGGAAAGCAGCCAATCCATGCTGTTCGGATGGAGTCCCTGGTGAAGCAACCTCATCTGCTTGATACAGTCAAGACGACTCGAGAGCCTGGATTTGACAGGGCGCAAGTCGTGAGCCATTCAGCGTTGTCGAAACAGACTTCCCCTGAAGGTGAAACGCCCAGGCGCTGGGCAGTTGCAGATTGTGTTGACCAGTTACGGCGGACTGTTTGTATCGGAGAACTTACACCACTGTACTAAAATAACGTCATGGCAGTCACTCTTTCAGGGTAATAGTATTTCAGTAACTCCTATACTTTGACAGATTTCAAGAAGGTTGATGAATCATGAAAGAAGATCTGTGTCTACATTCATCGATTCGTCAGGTCTGTCGATTGTCAAGCGCAATCAGGTGGGGAGGTGTTACGTAGATAAGCGCTGTCCCCTGGTCGGTTTTTCAATCAGACGGAGTCATCCGTGAAGAAGCACACTGCAGAGTTCCGACGCGTCATACGGAGTAACTCGAATTTGACCGACAAATGTTCCATACATCTGTAGAGTAAGTTGGTGCCTACAATAGAAAGTGCCGCTTGTCAGGTATACATGGTGTTGATCCTCAATAGCAAGTGTAGAACGAGTGGGTATACACTATACACGTTTATACCCATGCTGATGTCCGGAACTTTCTCATTTGGTAAGAGTCCTGATCGTGCAAACGCCTCGTATTGAAATGGTGGTATCAAATCATGCTTCAGTTCCCAGAACGCCGTAGTAAACAAATTCTCAATGCACGCTATCCCAGCTCAAATGCACCGCGCAGTAGAAGCTAAATAGGAAAACTGACATATAAATCACTCCAGCATATCGTCAGGCGGGAGCACTTTGTTTGGATCCTCGCCAAGCATTTCGCTAACAGACCGTACAACCTGCTTGATGGCCTTTGACGCCGGGCTGTCAGGGAAGTTGTCCACGAAGCTTTCACCGTAGTCGCAGGCCATTCCGACTCTTGGGTCAAGAGGAACTGAACCCAGGAATGGAATACCCATCTTTTTCGCCAGTCGTTTGCCACCTCCCGTAGTAGCACGGAAGATTTCCGATGTATTGGAGCATCCTGGACAGACGAACCCCCGCATGTTCTCAACTAGGCCCAAGATACGAATGCCAGCCTTGCGGCAAAAATCAATCTCCTTCCTGACGTCGAGAAGCGATACTTCCTGGGGGGTCGTGACCACCACCGCTCCGTCCACGCCAGACTCTTTCAGAAGTGAGTTCACCGATAAGTGTTCGTCCGAAGTTCCAGGCGGCGTATCGACAATCAGGTAGTCCAACTCGCCCCAGTCCACATCCTTAAGAAACTGCTTAATCATTCCATTCTTTTTTGGGCCCCTCCAGATGATTGCGTCGTCTCGGTTCGGCAGCATGAATTGGATACTCATTGCACTCAGATTATCGGTCACCCACACCGGGCTCCAGCCTGCGTTGCTCACGTGAATTGTTTCCGACTCAACTCCCATCATCTTCGGGATCGAGGGTCCGCAAATGTCTGTGTCACATAGGCCGACGGTGGATTCAGGGTTTGATGCGAATGCGTGTGCAAGGAGTGAGGAGAAGGTGGATTTGCCGACACCGCCTTTGCCGGATAGTACAAGGATCTTGTGTCGGATTTGAGAGAGACGTTCGGTGATGATAGGGATGTCGGGATCGGGGCCCTTGGGGGCAGAGGCACAAATGGCTTGATTGGGACAGCCGGCGCAGGCATCGCCTTTTCCTGCTTGCTCTGACTCGGGTCCAGGGCAATGCTCTGCAATCGTTAGTGATTTTCAAAATATATATATAAATTTTTGCAGGTTAGAAAGACGTACCTGGTTCCGGAGCAACGAGGTTCGGTGCCACCTTGGACGGCACATCGAACGCTGCCACTGGCTCCATCACGGAAGGAGCCATTATGTTGTGAAGACCAGCTTCTTGTTCTGAGATGCGGCGATATATTCTCTTAGACTCAAGATTGTTAAGTGCGTCGAATTGATCTGGACAGAAGTAAGCACCGTTTGATGAAAAAAGTGGCGGATCGTCTGCTTGATAATCCATTATCTGGATGACAAACGCTTGGTGGCGATTGGCGCGGGGGTTTTTCTCAAGGAACCAGCCACTGCGGTGTCGGAGCGCCCCGCGATAAGATTGATTAATCATAGGTAGATCAGAATGCTGAATCTCTGAGATGGATTATCATGGGGATTATTATTGGTATGACTATGCTGATGAGCAGTGAGTGGCTTATACTATCATCATAATACGAGGATTAAGATCTATATGTCTCGCGACAGTCAATTGAATCTTCGTTAATGGACTAGAGCCAGAGAGAAACAGATATATATTACCTATCCAATGTATGGTCATATTTTGAAGGGAGAATCATACCATCAACGTAACTTTCATAAAGTCAATTTGTTACTTCAGAGAGTTCTTATCAGACTATGATTGAGTGGTGTCTATGCAGCAGGATGGTTGCAAGTTCAGACTGCCATCCCCTCGAAAGTGGGGTAGTACAGGACTTGAAAAGATCCTCTTTTTTGACTAGATTGATATCGATAATGCAGAGGCATGTCAGAACCTTAACATACCTACCTGTTTACGCCTCTCTCCAGGGTGCTTACCATATCGTCAACCACCAACTCGAATGCCAGAAGACTGATTCATTGTGATCCGAGGTTCGACTACTACTGAAAGAAACTTCCGCAGAAGAAATATCCGCAGCAAATATCCACAGTTTATGATTGACCGGAGACACTGCAGATCCCCGTTCACATATGACTATCAACACATCAGTGACCATTCCCTTCTTTTCTGCAGGCTGTGTCTGTGTGTTGCATGAGGCATAATGTCATTAAGTTCCCTGCCTCAGGAAGATTCTTGGAGTCTGGCAACTCGAGCAGGTGCCCCTCAATGGCATGCATATCTATGCAGTGCATATGCTTTCATTCCTACCTGGAAACAATACCTGAAATCATTGATTGGCGATAATCCATAGACTACCTTACCTATCTAAATGTCATCTGCTTCAATTCCTGATTTTTCGGGACTAACAGAGGAAATGCTGCCCAGTGAAATGTAGTATTCCATGCACCCGCCGTTACCGCTCGCTTGTGACGGTTTTTTCCCCCCCAGGTTGATCCTGGAACATTTTCATCAAGAGAAATATGTAATAATGCTGGACTTCAATAAACAGAGCAAGTGGATAGACTACGGAGTACGGGTACTAAGGTAAGGAATTCGTTGTTGAGACCAATGGGTATTTAGTGCTTAGAAGGATCTGTATCCAAGGGATAACCCACGAGCCCGAAGATTCTGAAGTACCTTGAACCATGTATTCTGTATGTCGCATCTGATATCATTTTGCTTGACGGAGGCCACTTCTAGTCTATGTACTACTAGATACTTTCTTAATGATTGTTTGGATTCCTCAAGATGGCCGATCTTCTTTCTCTTTCCGCTCCATTCCTAATCCCTTTGAGAGATTTGACCAACGTCTTGTGATTGGCGCTTTTCCCACTCAACGGGTCTGGGTCGCCAGTCCCTTTCCCCAGCGATAGCTCTAGTCCTAGACGTATGAGGTTACTCTCTCTCCGCTATAAGGGTAATGATAAATAGCAAGTAACCGGCTCTTCAAAAGACAAATTGTTAACTCCCCCACTCACTCACCAACACAATTATTAATTTTTATCTCTCTTCTTGTTTATAGTTTTCCTTTTCTCTCTTGCCTCCATCTGTTCAATGACCCATTGAGCATTGTTGTTGACGTGCGAAATCTGTCCAATTTGGAGACACTAACGTCACATGAGCTTTGGGGAACCTAAAATTCCCACCCTTGCTTTACTGTCACATGCTTCTTCTGCACCAGCTGTGATTTTCGATCCATCTTTCCCCCTCAACAATTTTCCGCTCCCGTTTTCCACACAGGAAACAGAGAGCTGCACGCAATTATGGATCGTGGCCTTTCAACAGGCACTCATCAGGCAGATGATGGACTTCGCGAGAGGACTGTGGCCTTTCAGTCCAGCTCCGCCCTCTCTCCCGAGGCTTTAACAGCCACGGGTGAAGGTGAGGTCAAGGACAAAGCCGGTAAAGAAAAGAAGACATACGGCCGGACTCCAGACGGTACAGGTACGTGAGATAGTGTCGCCGAAAATTAAGACTAGATGACACCTCTTTTCGGCTTTCAAAGACTTGGGGTCGTACGGGTTGCTTTCCCGCTAACTGACATACTCGATAGTGTTCACGGTGCCTCAAACGCACGACATGGTCTCTCAACTTCTGTCACCCTCGGAACCAAAGAACCTGTCCGACGTTATCGTTCTAGCCATTCTCAGTGCTCACATTCTTCTCTTATGGCGACTTCCCGCCGGTGCCAAAGTGCCCGTTTTTGCCTTTATCTATCTCTTTTGGCGTGGTGCCTACAATGCAGGGATCGGATGGCTGCTTCATAACCAGTCGAACCACAAAACGCTCGTCCGTTGGGCGGAGAAGACCAAGATCTTCGTGAATCCGGCCACAGGCAAAAACCCTCATGCTAACCTATACAAGCTGCTTAAACGTGAATTGGAGACGAAGATCCCAGCTGACTATTCGTTTGAAAATGCTCCAATTGAGTACAATACCTGGCTCGTCTTCAGACGACTTGTCGATCTGATCTTGATGTGCGACTTCACCTCATATTGCCTCTTTGCGATAGCCTGTAGCCAACGTCCCCTTGATGAGGGCACTCTTATGACTGTCCTGCGGTGGTCCGCAGGTATCGTCTTAGTGCTCTTCAACTTGTGGGTAAAATTAGACGCGCATCGAGTGGTAAAAGACTACGCCTGGTACTGGGGAGACTTTTTCTTCCTTATCGACCAGGAGTTGACCTTTGATGGTGTCTTCGAAATGGCGCCTCATCCGATGTACTCGGTCGGCTATGCTGGATACTACGGTATCTCATTAATGGCGGCGAGCTACAAGGTCCTGTTCATCTCTATTCTCGCCCATGCAGCACAATTCGCTTTCCTGGTCTTTGTCGAGAATCCGCACATCGACAAGACATATAACCCGCCACCACCCCGAAAGCGAACTATCGATCAGGAAAGTGTATCTATGATCTCTCAGAGATCGGATTCGCCCATCGCGCCAGCTTCCGTTGATGAACAAGTGCCCCATGCGCCAAGCTATTCAAGTGGTCCACCTCCGTCGGTTCACAACCTCTTGGGCTTTCGGAATCTGGATTTGCATCGGACGATAGATACTTCTTCTATACTGATTCAAATTCTCGTATTCGCCCTCACGGTCTTGACGCCTTCGACTCCGTGGTTCCAGTTCCTTTTTGTGGCCAACGCCGCAGTCTGGAGAATCTGGTATTCTGTTGGTATCGGCATGGTTCTCAACCGTCAGTCGAACTGTAAGGCCTGGACTCGACACTTTGTAAAATATGGCGAAAGCCCTCAGGAGGCCTGGAATCAGTGGAAAGGCACTTATCATATCAGCATGGTCATGTGCTACGCGAGCTTCATTGCCGCTGCATGGAAAATATACAGTTTTCCGGCGGATTGGGGCTATGGCCTCGTCTTGCTCAGACACGTCTTGGGTGCAGGGCTCATTGCCTTACAAATCTGGACATCGGTCAGCATCTACGAATCTCTTGGAGAGTTTGGCTGGTTTTACGGAGATTTTTTCTTCGATGAATCGCCCAAGTTGACATATAACGGCATATACCGTTTCCTGAATAATCCTGAACGTGTTCTGGGTTTGGCAGGCGTTTGGGGTGCTGTTCTTATCACCAGCAGTGGGGCTATCATTTTCCTTGCCCTGATGAGCCATATTTTGAGTCTAGCTTTCATCCAGTTTGTCGAGCGTCCTCACATGCAGAAGCTTTATGGCCGCAGCCTGCGACGAGATGCTGGTCTGACCAAGAGTTTGAAGCGATCCTTGCCTCCATCTCTACAGCAGCTCCATGGAAGTGTTGACAAAATGTTTGATGAGTCTTTTGAATTTATTGAAGAACTCATTGACAATGCTCGTCCGAAGCTCGCTGCGGGTGTCAACACGTTTGTCAAAGACACATCAGCTCTGTTCCAAAAGTATCCCGCTCGTGTGACTATCTCTCGCATTGATGAAGACCTGGCCGGCTATGACTTACGTGACTACTCCTTGGAGATCGAAGGCACTGATTCATTGTCTCCCCGTGACAACGATCAGAGTAGCGGTAGGGAGGGTGCCAATGCTCGTATGCCCCTTGACAGACGCGGCGACCTGAAGAACTTGGTTTTCGAGTATGGTTCACCCATCAAGGTTAAGTGGACAGCTCCGCTCAATCATAGCAAGAAAGATTGGATTGGTCTGTATCGAGTCACCGACAATACTTCTCGGGAAGTCTCGCGCGTCTCATCTCAAGGGAGATGGATTGCGGTCAACGAGGGCTCGTATGACAATTTGACTTGTGAGAAGGGAATCGTGAGCAGCGATATTGTTATACCCGCCTCACAACGCAAGGACAAGGAAAACCGCGATCTGGCTTCCGGTGAAGTTATCTTCTCTGGTGATAAGCTGTTCTGGACTCAGGGTGTCTTCGAGCTCCGGTACCACCACAATGGAAAGCACAATGTTATGGCTATTTCAAGACCATTCGAGATTCGTATCAGCCGGTTTGATGAAGATGAGATCCCTCTGATGGACCCTACATCAGTTGAAATGAGCTTGTTTCCCGTTGTGCGTAACTGCTTTGATCGAGATCCCGAGATCGCGCCGGAAACCGTGGATGAGCCTTTTGGCAGTCTCGTCGAACGTGATGGGAAGTATGCCAAGAGAGTCGTGTTCGCGGTTCATCAAATGTGAGTTCCCTGCGTTGATTTCGGAGGAGGTCGTACTAATGCTTTCGCGTAGGTTTGGTATCGAATTCGCTCCTGAGGTTGTCAAAGCTGACGGCAATGTCCACAACCTTGCCCGGAGGATATGCAATGCAAAAAGGGTCTTGGTATGTAGTCATCAGCCTCCTTCAGACCTCATCACCATATCGTTCCAGCCCCTGAAGCTGACTTTGAATATCGCATCTTATAGGCTCCCTATAGTCTAACCAGGAATGGTGCGACGACACCAACTGAAGGGAAAGAGTAACCTGAGAATGAGAACCTATGCGGAACCGAGAGAAAACTTCAAAAATCCGAGGAAAAGTGGAGACATGGCATGTCTCCCAGCTTGACAATCAGCAAACCATTTCCTGTTCGCCTTTTGCAGCTAATATTTGGATGAGCAATGCAAGCTCTGATAGACAGGCTTCATCGCCAATGTCACTCTTTTGAGACTGCCGACCTACTTCATCGTGCTGGTATTCTCTATCGGCAGTATGCACGCTAAAGATGCACCCTGAAGAAAATAAATAAAGCCAAACAATCATACAGGTCGAGATGACCGGAGTACATTGACGATGCAATTCACGCATTACTTCGCGTGGGTGAGACAGCAGAAGCTCGAGGCATTTATAGTTTCATGAAACATATTCAGTGGCATTGTTTATATATATGATAGAGAATTGAGAATATGTGTTTAACGGCTTTGATGGAGGACAATTCCTTGTATTGAATATGTTTCGTTCTAATAGGCATGTCTAGTCTAACTACCGAGTATGATTTGACCAAAAGCCTACAACTTCAGAGCAGTCAGCAAGCATCCTAATCGATGACATGGAGTTTGACAGCACAACGGAACACCTCAAGGAAAGGCAAACTCATTAAGAGTTCGCAGCAAGGTGTTGATCAGCCAAGCCGGTAAATTCATCCCATCCCCTGCCAACTCCTTTCCCCCAACAGATCATCCAAAACGAACGACGAGTCGGGGGAAAGGCGTTGACACAAGTCAAGCGTAGCAAGCAGACCAGCAGGACTCGGCACGGAGCATACAACGATTGAGCCCGCTGTCCAGTGCTCCACAACCAATCATCCCTTCAATCCAGCCGACTTCGGAAGAAATACAGCGAAGAGAAAGTCCGGTATAAGGGAGTTGAACTGGCGGATCGCAGTGTCCCAAGTGTGCTGTGTTGCCGGCAGCTGCGGGCTCGAGGGGCGGTTCTCCAAGGGAGATCATTGAATGGATTGACTTGTTGTCATCATAAAGGATTGTGTTTGGCAGTGGTATGAGATTAGGGAAGAAGTGACTGTACCTACTGCTAGAAGTGCCAGGGGCTTGTGCTTGGGTTAAGAAGCAGTTGTACACCTTCTATTTCTTCGAGATCGTCAGTATTCCGAGTGATCAAGCAATGGATTGAAAGAACAAGTGGAATCATCCAAAAATGATCAGGAGATTTTGGTAAGGTATTTGGTTTTCTTCAAGGTTTTTGCAGAAGCAGAACTGAAAAAAATGTTTCTCATCACGAAAAGAATATGGGTAGTGTGGTCGTCGAGGAATTGAGCAAAAACATACCTAAGAGAGCTTACAGTGTCCGAATTTTTCAAGAATAAGTGAGATTTCCTGTCTGATAAGTGGTCAGCAAGACTGCATGAAGCGAAACGAGCTGACAGCAATTGTGGATAAGAATTTCGATCAGATGGTGATGCATGTTTGTTCAAGCCCATTTATTTGTCGCCAGAACTTAAGATTTTTGGAAATCAATTTCGTCATGAAGGGTGTGAATTGACAGTGAGATTAGGCAGACAAACTTACAGTGAGTAAGTAAGTATCAGGATGTTTGTGAGCAGATGGCAGTCTAGAAGTAGATGCACTTTTATCGATAACCCAAGCTTCATCATCAGAGGTTTGGTTGTTGGGCATTCAAGCATAGAAGAGATGAAGGAGGAGAAGGAGAAAAACAGAGAAGAAATAGTCGTGGGAAAAAAAGTGTGATCCACCAGCGGACGCAGACAAACAGTGCAAACATCTTCTGAAATCGCAGATTTCCGTTTCTGGACTGGGAAAGTCGCTGGCAGGCTGCTTGTCGGGATTTCTGTTAAAGGAGCATTGGCAATTTCTTCTTTTATCAATCGCTTATTGCCTTTTCCGTCCGATTCGAAGCCTCTTCCCATTCCAAGTTAATCTGCTATGACTGATCGACGAAGAATCAATGGGCCGCCCAGCGACACAAGGCCTGCGGTCTTCGCCTCGTCGCTCAAATCTACAACTGGTACTGCATCTGGCAGGCCACAACGGCAAAGGCAGCCAAATGAACTGCGCAAGATATGTGAGACGTCAGTTCGATTTATCGCCCGCGCAGGAGCTAACATGTCTGTGTATCAGTCCTCAGGACTGGCTTGATCCCCTCCGCATCTGGCTCCGCATACCTCGAATTCGAACCCTCAGCCTCCCTCGCCGCTGCACGCTCTTCTCCTCAATCTCTCATCCCTCCTTCTTCAGCTCTGAAGCTTGCATGCACCGTTCACGGACCTAAACCGCTTCCCCGCTCTGCTACATTCTCGCCCAACCTTGTTCTCACCACTCATGTCAAATATGCGCCGTTCGCTGCCCGCAGGAGGAAAGGGCACGTCCGAGACGCTAGCGAACGGGACCTGGGTGTGCATTTAGAGACCGCGCTGCGGGGTGTTGTTGTTGCTGAACGGTGGCCGAAGAGTGGATTGGACATCACAATTACGATCTTAGAGGCTGAAGATGATCGGTGGTGGGGCGATGCGCCAGACTCTCATGATGCTCCGTGGGGAATGATGAATGTTCTGGCTGGATGCATCACGGCTGCCTCTGCGGCTATTGCGGACGCGCGGATCGACTGTTTGGACCTCGTGGCTGGCGGCGTAGCTGCTCTTGTTTCTGACGAGTCCGCGGAGGGAGAAAAGTCAACGCCGAAGCTTATGCTGGATACAGACCCGGCTGAACATCGGTCTATCCTGTCAGCATGTGTAGTCGCATATATGCCTTCTCGGGATGAGATTACAGAAATATGGCTCAAGGGGGATAGTTCGAAGGTGCTATTAGGGCCCGATGACAAGCGCTCGGGGCATGACGCTTTGATAGATGGGGCGGTGGACGCTGCTCGGGGAGCGCATACGGTTCTGGCAGAGGCAGTGAGGGAATCTGCTGAACGGTTTGCCGGCCTTGCTACAGTTTGAGGTCTCGTGTAATGAACGAAGAAATAATGCCAACGTCTTGTAAGATCTTTTTCATTTGTTATATTATGATTAGATGTAACAGAGCATCAGTCATTGCTCCCTCAGTAGAATCCTCAAAATCCAGTGGAATCATAGATTGAGTGAGCTCTCACTGTGCGTACTACCGGTGAATCAAACACCAGGTAAGGCGGTTTTGGACTAAACCACTAGAGCTGATATTTTGCCTGCCTGTGAGGTGAGCTCGACTCATTTCAAAATAAACACCCACCTCTCGTCCGACCACTCTCTTCCTCATCAGCTTTCAATCACTTTCGCTTTAACCTCCACGTTGATTAAAGCATCCTCGTTACATTTTCATCTCTCCCATCAGGTCCGATTCCAAACGTCGCGATGCCAAAGTCAACCACCCCCGTTGACGAGCAACACATCTTCATGTATCACATTCTTAACGGTGTGAACGATAAGACCGTAAGTTCTCTCTCGAAAGTAATGAAACGAGCATAGACGAGTAGCAGCAGAGAAAACCTCTTGATGTCAATCGCTTTATTGCTCATGATGCTCCCCTCAAGACGACCAGGACATAGCTGACCATACTGGTTTATCATAGATTAACTGGAACACTGTGTGCAAGGCCACCAATCTGAACAAGGGGGCCGCTCACATGAGATGGATCCGTCTCAAGGGAAAGATCGAAGACGCTCTGAAGGGAGACGACGACACTGAAAGCGCTGACGACATCACCGCGGAGTCTGGCAACACCGAAGTCAAGACTGAAGCCGAAAAAGCGCCTGGCAAGACTATGCCCAAGATGGGTGTTTTCAAACCCCGTCGTTCCAAGAACGTCAACACCGCTGAATCTGAGATCGCTCCTCCCGTTAAGAAGAGACGCACCACTAAGCGCAAGAGAGCCGATCAGACCAACGAGGAAGACGCCAACAAGGGTGCTTCTGAGGCTACTGCCGAGAAGTAGCTGGGTTCCATCCTTGCACAATCATTCTTTCTCCACGAGCTCTTGCGGCCATGCCTCCTTTGGGACGAACAGATTTCTTTGCGGTAGCGATAAAAAGGAGTTAGTTTGGTTTCACAGCATGGAGCATCATTTGGTGCATAGCCTGGTTGGATGATTTTGTTTCTGTTGATGGCAGTTACATGAACACAGGAAGAGGTTTGTTGAACCTGGTAGTAGTAGCTCTAGGTTAATTTAAACTACAAGTTAAGGGTTTCATGAAGCACGTGAGGCTGCATGACTGCAGAATGTAGGCGGTGAGAACCTATTTCAGCGCCTGAATGTCAAGGCATGTAATCTGTATTCAGTGTAGAAGCCTCATCACTACCCAGCTTTGCTCCCTTCTATGATACACTAATGGTACAGACCCTTGGAGCATAAATTACTCCTGATGTCTCTCTTTGCACTCTTTGTCTGCAATATCAAAGTTTACATGTGGCGGTGTCTCTCGCTTTCTCGGGGACACTACTCCGTAGATATCCCTTTAGTCCATCCTGTGATAGAGGATCTGCCAGGGAGATTGTACTGTATCACACAGCGCTAACCGCATATAGCAATAGAAGGACAAGGTGTAGCCGGTAGTGGTCATGGCTTTGAAGACTAATTTGCCTTAAGATTAAGATCGTTGGCAGAGATTCCCGATATTGCTAGCTCCTGAGTTGGTGTAGTTCGTAAATAGAACTATGTCAACCAGAGAGTTCTAGTCCAGTCGAAAAACACGGCGATATTCTTTTCGCTTTCAACTCCAGATTTTGCTTCTACTTCTGCCGGATAAGTGATGGGCTTATGGTAGAGCTATACCAGCTATACTGAGCTCCGAAGTCGCACGAAGCACTGATTCAAAGATACTATGTTCACGAGTGACATTGGGCACTCTGAGGAAGTCAAAGGGAGCAGTCATCCTACCTCACTGACTTGACACATTATTGCTGGCGTCAGACACGAAGAAAAACAAATACTCCATGCTAGATTAAAATGATCCTGTCGGCTCCATTGTGGCTCCAACGGTTTCCGTGTTTCCCGCCCCGTCTCTCTGCTGGGAAGTCAGGGGAAGTCTTGGACTTTTGGTAGGATACTCTGTAGTAAAATCCCTTCAAAGACTGTCTGTCTATTTTATGGTCCTATTTATTGTCCCCGTAACAGAGGTATGGATGATAGACGGTTATGATTGTACAGAATTGGTTATGTGTAAAAGTAACTTTAAAAATGCTCATTGATACTGGCCGGAAACCACCTAGCTCGTGACTCCCCGCGGACATTTCCCGATCGAGTCTTTCCCTTCGTTCGACCTTCGAAGCCCAAACAGCATCAAGATTTGTGCTATCCACCATCGGTGTTTCACCATCTCGAAGCTCGATCAAATTATCTCAACCTAATCAGGCCATCGTCGCGAACACCTAGATTACATCCAGCAGGATCTAGATCATCTTGCAGGATATTGCAATGTCGAACCGGAATAACACTGGGATTTCAACGAATCCTCAATAATGGCTTGCAGGTACAATGTTAAAGGCTAAAGCCGTTTGACATATTGTCAGGGGTATGGGGAACCTGAAAAACAGGAGAAAAGGAGTGAAAAAAAAAAGAAATGGCATACATAGTCAAAGCTTTTTGCCTTGACGCATTGATAACTTTGTGAAGAAGTTTGACAACTAACGTCTTTCACTGTCAGACAGGCCGCAACTCGCAAGCAAGTTCAAATTTGCCAGAACACCAGTGGCTGAACGTTGCTCATGAGAAATTCCACCTAAACAGCACTCCAAACCCCAAAGTCCAAAAGAAAAGTACGGAGTACAAACTCGGGAATAATGTCCATACTCCTTTACATATGATCTAAATCATCCAAGGCTATGAGCTCAGTCCGCCGGTTTCTTTTGCTGATTGAGACGGTTCCTGGCCTACTGGACGATCACACGGCACCCACCAATAATTGGCCTTGTTTAACGCGCTGGGTGTTCGCGGGATCCATCGGGACCCATTCTTCCGGCTTTTGACTGGTGTCTGGTTCTCTGTTTCCTAAGCCAACAGCCCAACTCCATTTCCATAAACTTTACGGCAGATGGCACACTGTCACTGAGCACTGAGCACCTTTGATGCGCCCATTCATCTATGCTCGTAACTGCTATCTTGCATTTTATCACTATACTGCTTGTGGCCGGCCGTTTCCAAGGGCCCCAAGCCTGCACAACCGAGAGCCCCGCAGGTTGACTCGCTTGCAGTGATGGCATGCTGGCAATGCAGGCTGCAGCATTGCTTGATAAGGCTCGATCTAGGTCATGCATATGCCATGTAAGAACGTTAGGGCCAAGACTGCTACAGACTGCACGTTCTACAAAATCTTCTTAAAAAAGCTCATCATTGTCGATTGTGACTTCGCGAGTATGCGATAGCCACCACTAAAAGTGGACAGGATAAAGCCTCAATGGGCCTGTCTAACTCCGGAGTACTAGTCTAGGTAGTTGATATGAACTACTCCGTACTCCGTAAACACATCGAAAATGAGCATTAGCCATGATCATCCATTGGCCTATTGAATTACCAATCGAGCTCAAGCGGCACATTAATCCCCTCCTAAGTCGTGAGCCAGAGTCCTGTCTGTCGGCTTAGCCTCAACCCTCTGCCTGTTAGCTTCGTCCCTCACAGTAGTGGATATCGGCACTGGGCCACTACTTCCCCCTGATCCAGCACCAACTGTCGGATCTGCGGACTGGACAGCAGTTAAAATTATTTTCAATTGCCTGTCGGATTATCTCTCCTTTGCAGAGCCAGAATATCTCAAGTTCTCACCTCTCTGGGAGACTCTCCCTTTCTCTTTCTCAACTCGTCGAGACAAAATATGCAGGCTACTTCTCTGGGATAACCCAGAAATACACCCGATTCAAAAAGCATTGATGCAATCATGTCTAATGATACGATCTTTGAGACTGTCTAATTGCTCTACCGATTCCATTCCTTTGTCAACTTTACCTGACTCAGTATTCCTTTCTTTGTTCTGGAAACTCATTATTTGATCTCTTTTCGGCTACATCTGAGCTTCTTAGCCGGTACCAAAGACAATCCTATTTATACGGGGACTCCCTCACTTGTGACATTCCTGTCAACCAAATTCCCCTGGCTATTGTTCATCTAACATGGCTGTCCTGAAGAGATTTTTCCAGGCCGAGAAAAGTTCATCAGCAGACGCTGCGGATTCAGATGAAGCACGGGGCCCACCAACTCAACCTGTGAACCAACTGCAGAGGTCCCGGAGCTTAAATACTTCACGGCAGCTCGATGCCGACGAACATTTTCAGAGCATTGAAAAACAGTTCGAAGAATTGCATGACCAAATGCAGGCACGACCTTTATCTTCTCGTTCCCGTGCTCCATCCTCTCGTGCTTCGAGTCGTTTCACGCAGCGCAATCCACGACATGTCGATCTGCTAGATGCCTTGTTCTCGTCGCATAGATATCAGATGCAGATAGCCAATGCATTGTCACCCACTACTCCTTTTAATGAAGATATCGCTGAGCGCAATATGGTTCGATTTCTTCAGGGACAACCGCGCACGCAGAAGGTGTATTCCCGTCTTATCTCGGCTCTTTATCAAGAAGATGTGGCAGACAGAAATATTGCAAAGAATCGAATGAACAAACGCCCAATTTCCCGAAGCGCTAGCTCTCGATCGCAGGCTGCATCAACATGCGCATCCCAATCAAGTGGAGAGGTACCTCAGCGTGAAGTCAGCAGCCGGTTACTCCCAAGGGCCAATGGGGGCAAAATCACATCATTAAGCTCACGGCCAGGCTCGAGCTCCTCGTCTCAACTTCGTTCTTTACGAGCCCACAGGTCGGCGCCGAATATAATGGCTGAATTTACAAATGCGTCGGAAGAACAATCTGCACCTAATGCTGAGAGCTACTTGGGCGTCCCTCCAGCTCACAAGCAAGGCGACAAATGGAGCAACACGCCTCTCCCAGACAGTCCAACACTGCCTCTGCCAATGACTCAAGGCTGGAAGATGGGTCCATCAAAAGGGAAGGGCTCTCTTGAAGTGACGAGAAGCTCGCCGTCAACCCACGGTAAATCACCCAGACTCAACTCCAAGAAAAACGTCCGGGACCTTTCTATCAACACGGAGTTAGCGGCTCGAGGAAAACCTACGTCAAGGATCTCGCACCATGCAATCCAGCCACCAACTCCTAGCAACTATGATATGAAACAGAATCTTAGCATTGCTGAAGTCATGAACAGCCCCTTACCTGTCGGAACTCCCACGTCTATCTCTCCTCTGCCTCCGTCAAACCAGAAGGTGGCGGAGATTATGGACATGTTCAAGCAGGCTTTCAATTCCTCTGCAGGAGCTATTTCGCCCCATCCCACCTTTGAAACTCTACAAGATGCGATAGTTCGAGAGATTAATTCTCACGAAGCCTTCCGACGGGTACCTGTCCCTGAGGCGGGTCCTCTCTTTACACTCTCCTCATCCCAGGATCCTTTTGATAGCGACGAAATTTCGGCAACTCAAGGGCTGACCAGGAGTTTCTCCGCAAAAGAAAGTCAATTTTTCAAGTTGATCAGACGCGGCTCCTTCAAAAAGCATAGAAGAGGCTCGGAGCGCAAGAGCATATCAAGTAGCGTGCCTGTGATGGTCTTCCGCCAAGGCTCCGAATCATCCAGTAGACGAAGGCACACAGATGCCCCGCCTCCATCTCCCGGGTTCCTCAACGTGAAGCAAGACGGAACACTTGCGGGCAATGACCAACCCGAAGAACAAGTGACGTACATGGATATCCTCCTTCGAGCACAGAAGTCTCCTCCCAATAGCAGGTCGAGAAGGTCTCCAAAAGCAGTTCGTGACTCTGGACGAACCCAATCCGCCGGCACTCTCGGTTCACACAGCGTCTCGGACATATCCCACACCACACCTTCGGTCTATTACATGCGCGCACAGACGTCTTCGTCCTCCAGTGACGGCCGGACCAGCTTCTCCGCAGACGACAGTGATGAGGAGATAATCCAACTCCCCAGCATTGGGACCCCACGATTCCAAATCCAGGCCGTCGACCAAAACAATGTCGCCTACATGATGGAGAGTACCTCCCCGAGGAATGCCTACCGGTTAATGAACTGGCCACATGGCACGCGCAGGAATCTTTCTATCCGAGGAGGCTCCGTCATGAGCGCAAACAAGCCGGCTGATCACTCCCCCAGACACGAACACCAGGTCCGATGCGCACGTTCGGTCGAGTCTTACTGATGTCTGTAACATTCAACACTATCCTCTCCCTCTTCTCAGTGAGAAAATGAGAAAATCAATATAGTCAGGTTGAGACGCTGCACTACTGCAGATCCCTGATTCACACTCCTTGAAAAACCAACTCCCACATGACTACGTCTTTTCCTTGAATCTCAAATCATCCAGTTCATACTTCATCTGTTGTATATACCAGGCGTTCTCCGCAATCTTCCTCTCCATGCTTGGAAGCGTTTCTGTTCTTTGCGTCATCTCTTATCTTGGGTCATTAGGCATAGCCAGGTATAGCCAGGCGTGAAAGAAGTTTTAGATACTCTAATATCAACCATCCTGATGAGGCAATCACTTCAGCCTAATAGCCTTAATCCAGTTTTCCCCTTTCATTTTTTCTTTTTTACCCCCCTTCCAACTCAAGACGCTGAGTCACAACTAGGATACAATGAAGATATGTTCCAAAATAGCAACCAGAGCTCTTGCTGAAAAGTTGTGATTGTTGATTCCCATGTTCAAGGTACGGATATGGTATGCTAGATCTGACTCTGAATGCATGAACAAAACAACCACAGAGGTATCCCGAAGATCACTCCCCTAACTCACTTCAACAATGCAACCGGACCTTGTTTTTCGAATGTACCTTCAACTAAATACACACACCCTTCACCGAAACTAAAACAGCAGAGAAAGGAAAATCATAAAGTCATAGTTACCACCGCCATGCAGGCGAATGGAACAATCTGACGTGGATATGCATGACTCGAATGCCATGTTTGACGTTTAGTAGGAACCTGCGTGCAAATAGTCAGTGACTTGTTCAATTCGTTCTCTGGCAGAGGGATATAGAATGGGAACCTACGTCCAAACATGCACCACTTCTCGGCCATACGGGTGCACTTGGGGTTGGTGCACTTGGTCTGGCCGGGGATGATGCCCTCGGGCTGATCGAAGGGAATGCAGAGAGACTTGGCGCCCATGCTGGGAGCCCTGGCGTCTTGGGGCACACCCGAATCCTCCTCCGCCTTGCGGGCGCTCAGTTCCTTGATCTGATCCTCGCACTCCTCTGTGAGACAGTGAGGGATGACACAAATGTTCTTGTCATTGAGGGCGGGGGAGAAATCATCCCAGTTGGTGATGAGCTTGCGATGAGAGCGGAATTCGTCATCTGCGCGCTTGTACAGATCCTTGTGGATGGTTTCCAGCAGGGCAGGAACGGCGGTGGACAGCTCATCAATGGCAATAGTAGACTTGCCATCCTTACCGGGAATGTCACGACGGGCGGCCGTGACGTAACGACCAGCAGACTCACCAGGACCGAATTCAATACGCAGAGGGACACCACGAAGTTCCCAGTCGTTGAACTTCCAGCCAGGGGAGTAGCCTTCTCTCTTGTCGCTATCGGCACGGATACCCGCAGCCTTGAGGAGGGAGACAAGGCTGTCGATCTCCGCGTAGAGCTTCTCTCGCTCCTCATCCGAAGTCTTGGCAGTGATACCGACAGGGACGATGATCGTCTGGGTCTCAGCAACGCGAGGAGGAAGGACCAAACCGCGGTTGTCACTGTGAATCATGACCATGACACCCAGAGTACGGGTGGAAAGGCCCCACGAGTTCTGCCAGACATGGAGAGGAGCCTTCTTCTCATCAGGCTTGGCAGATGGGTCCTCGACGGTGATTCCGAACATCTTACTGAAGTTCTGGCCAAGGCCGTGTGACGTTCCACCCTGGATACCACGACCAGTAGCAGGAATGTAACCTTCAACAGTGGTAGTGTAAAGACCACCGGCAAACTTCTCCTTCTCTGTCTTTTGGCCCTTCACGACGGGAACAGCGAGGAGCTCTTCGTAAATCCGAGCATAGAGGTTGAGCATGTGTAGGACCTCTTCGCGAGCGGCCTCCTCGGTAAGGTGAGCGGTGTGACCCTCCTGCCACAAAAACTCTCTTGTCCTAAGGAAAGGCTGAGGATGCTTGAACTCCCATCTGACGACCGAGTTCCACTGGTTGAGCTTGAGAGGCAGGTCACGGTGACTTCTGATCCATTTGGCGTAGTAGGGGTACATGACAGTTTCTGATGTGGGACGGATGGCGATCTTCTTCTCAAGAGGGGTGTTCCCTCTGCAAAGGAGTAGGTCAGTCATACAACAAATACATACAAAGCTGGTCAAAGGGAAAATCATACGCATGAGTCACCCAAGCAACTTCGGCAGCGAAACCTTCGATGTGATCCTTCTCTCTCTGCAGCACATCCTCGGAGACGAATAGAGGAAATGAGCAGTTTTTGACGCCAACCTTCTTAATCTCTGCATTGAACCAGTTTTGAATCTCCTCCCAGATAAAGTAAGAAGCAGGCTGTAGACGTCTCATCAGCAACGGGACCATAACAGTTGATGGTAGTATACCCATCCCAGGAAGAGAAAACAGTCGTACCTTGAGAATGAAGCATCCAGAAACGTCGTAGTAATCCAACATGTCACCCTTTGTAAGAACCTGCTGATACCATCCGGGGAAGTCCTCCTCCTTGGAGACATCGATACCGATTAAAGAAGCACCTTCAATCTTCTTCTTAGGTGCCTTCGATGTAGGCTTCTTAGCCTCCGACTTTCCAATGCCCTTGTTCGCAGCCTTCTCGGCCTTGTCAGCAGCCTGCTTCGCGAGTTTTGCTGCCTTCTTGGCGGCATTCTTGGAGGTTTCGCCTTGGGTAGCGGCCTTATCAGCTTCAGCGGGGTTCTGACTGCGATCAGGGAGGGTGACAGGGTCAGTAGTGACCGGAGTGTCAGCGGGGTTTTGGCTGGCCATTTTGCAAACGAGGGTCGAGCCGAGCAGTCGCTAGAACAACAGACAGGAAACAACAGAGGGCAATTGCCAAGGCAGATGACTCGTCCGTTGGGTGCAAAATGAGGGCCGCATTCCCCTCGTTAAAGTGGGATGCATCTTGGAAAATCTTCACCGCCTCGGGGCCGGCAGAACTTTTAGCGGGAGACCAACGAGAGTCGGCAGCAGAACGAGATCTCCAGTAGTGGGAGCTCTGCCATCTCGTCACAAGTGTCTTTCTCTACTATCGAGTAATCATGGCAGGCATTTTCGAGGCGCCGCGCAATGCGGATACTCTTTGTGAGCTTCAGGCCCCGAAAAAAGTTCCATCTTTGAGACCGTTTCACTGACGACCATCGCACAGTCTTGGGTGGACAGAAAATAACTGGTGCTGATGTCCGCGAGCAGAATGGTGTGTGATAAGATACTACAATTGATATAACTGAATTCTTAAATGCTGATGAGACACGCAGTCCTTGCGACTCAGGCTATTGCAAATGTTGTCAAGAGCTCCTTTGGTCCTTCTGGTCTGGACAAGATGATGGTGGATGACATAGGGGTAAGCCTTCTGAGCTCAACCCCTCGACATCTCTTGCAGGGTTCTGATTGTCAATATAGGATGTGACCGTAACCAACGATGGTGCCACTATTCTGAGTTTGCTGGATATAGAACACCCTGCTGGAAAGATCCTCGTTGATCTAGCCCAACAACAGGACAAGGAGGTAAGGCCCATCGGTCGCGCCGATTTTGTGTCCTAAAAAGCTCTTTTGCTGATCCTGTAATCTTTTAGGTCGGAGACGGTACCACTTCCGTCGTCCTCATTGCTGCCGAACTGTTACGACGAGCAAACGAGTTAATGAAGAACCGTATCCACCCCACGACTATTATCAATGGCTACCGACTAGCCCTCAGGGAAGCTGTCAAGTATATGAATGAGAACATCACCACGAAAGTCGACGCGCTAGGAAAGGACAGCCTGGTTAACATTGCCAAGACTTCTATGTCAAGCAAAATCATTGGCGCGGACGCGGATTTCTTCGCCAACATCGTCGTTGATGCTATGTTGCTGGTGAAGACCACAAATCAGAAGAATGAGGTTAAATACCCAGTCAAGGCTGTGAATCTGCTCAAGGCTCACGGAAAGAGCGGCACGGAATCCATGCTTGTCAAGGGTTATGCACTCAACTGTACCGTCGCTTCACAAGCCATGAAGACCCGGATAACCGACGCAAAGATCGCTTGCCTCGATATGAACTTGCAGAAAGAGAGGATGAAGCTTGGCGTTCAGATCACAGTTGATGATCCTGATCAACTAGAGAAGATCCGTGAAAGAGAGTCTGGCATTGTTCTTGAGCGGGTAGAGATGATCCTCAAGTCTGGAGCAAATGTCGTTTTCACAACTAAGGGTATTGACGACATGGTTCTCAAGCTCTTCGTCGAGAGGGGTGCTATGGCTGTCAGACGCTGCAAGAAGGAGGATTTGAGACGAATTGCCAAGGCCACTGGAGCTACCTTGGTAAGCTCACTCTCTGACCTCAACGGCGACGAGAAATTCGACGCATCAAACCTCGGGTATGCAGAGGAAGTTGTGCAGGAGCGGATATCAGATGACGAGTGTATTCTGGTCAAAGGAACCAAGGTCCACACCTCGGCCTCAATCATTCTCAGAGGACCCAATGACTACAGCTTAGATGAGATGGAGCGTTCGGTCCACGATTCTCTTTGCGCCGTCAAGCGCACTCTTGAGAGTGGTAGCATCGTTCCTGGAGGTGGTGCTGTCGAAACGGCGCTCCATATCTACCTTGAAGAGTTTGCAGTCACAGTGGTACGTTCACATCATGCTTCCTCCTCTCGAGATTTCACTCTCTAACGGCTCATATTTCACAGGGCTCTCGGGAGCAGCTAGCTATCGGTGAATTCGCCCAGTCTCTTCTCATTGTTCCCAAGACATTGGCAGTCAATGCCGCCAAAGACTCTTCTGAGCTCGTTGCTCAACTCCGGAGCCGCCACTGGGCCTCTCAACGCATCGAAGAAAGCCCCGCCAACAAGGACGATAAGGCTATCGCCAAAAAGAAGAACTACAAGAACTATGGACTTGATCTGACTAAGGGACGAGTCCACGATTCCATCAAGGCAGGTGTCTTGGAACCTAGCATGGGTAAGGTCAAGCAGTTCAAGAGTGCTGTCGAGGCCTGCATAGCCATCATGCGTATCGATACCATGATCAAGCTGGACCCCGAAAGGAAGGAGGATGATGGACACGGTCACTAAGAGCTCGATGACTGCTTGGTAACTTTTACTTGCTTATGCATGGAGTCTTAGATCAAGGTAAAGAAGTCTAAAAGCATAATAAGCTATCATGAGTACAGATTTCCAGCTCTGTTCATTTCTGTAATCCGTAATATTGTTTTCATTCCTGTTGCCTCGCAGGCCATGCTCTATTTAAGGCTTGGTTCGACACCCTGGAGGCATATTGAGCGAGGGGTCACTCTTGAAGGAGCTCATGAAGCTGATCCTTCGGTTGTCAGCTCATTCGTAACCCTCCTTAGGGCATAATCCAACTGAATGCACTCTGAACACAATCTGCTCGTGAACAAATGCACGTACCCAACCTCCAAAAACCTAAAAAAAGTCTCTTTCCATAAAATGCACTATGCACCAAGGCACATCGCTGCTATACAATGCATGCCGCTAAATGTCACAGTAAGCTGCTGCACGTCCTCTATATTGAGCAGCCAGTCCCGCGCTAAATGAACATAAACCATACCCAGACGCCTCGAAATGCTCACATGAACCGTAAATCCAGCAAAGGAGGGAAGCTTTCGATTCTCGAAAGGTCATTCATCATTGTCGTCATATTGATTTTCGAGCTCGGCCCAGCCACACTTCCATCGTCTACCTTCCGTCTCACCGCCGACTCGTAGATCTCGAGCATCAGGCCCTTCGCGCCAACACCTGGCGCTATAGTCGTCGCTGACCGTAATTAGCTCCCCATCCACAGACCACGAGACAGCTGACACCTCCTTCTTGTGGCCCTCAACCAATGGTGTTCCGGATTGGTAGATCGGTACGGTATCTTCCAGTCGTCCGGACAAGCCAACCGCTGAATTAGTGCGGCGTAAGCCAGAGCGAGTGAATGGCATCCCGGGCGACTGGGGATTCAAATCTACAGCCGGTTTCTCGGCGGGAGAATGAAGGAACCTCTCATCAGTAGGGAAGAGGACGGCACAATGATCACTGCTTCCAACAGCTAACATTTCCGCTTTGTCTGCAACGGCTTTGCGGACGCTGACTTTGACGTAGAATGAAGACACTTGCAAACGCGGATGGCGAAAGCCGTACAATGGACCCAAACCTTCTTTGTCAGAGCCACCTGAGCGTCTTGGGCGATTGTTATAGAGCGAAAGTTCGGGTGCATGTCCAAGTACCAGGTGGGATGTGGAGTATGCGTAAACAGTGCCATCCCTACAGAGCGTGTAGAGCCGCGAACCATCCCCATTGAGTGTCAGTGAGGTGAGTCCAAAGCGCCTATATTTAATGTGGCTATCCGGTTCACGAGTTGTCGAAAGAGGAAGGACAGGGCGACCACGACGGTTGCTGTGTGCGGTACGCAAATCCCAGAGTCTCACGCATGCATTGGCCTCCGACGCTGTCACGAAGAGATTTTCGCGGCCGGGGGAAAGAAAAGTCAACGAGGTTACCGTGATGTCGGAGCGGCCAATTTGGGGTTCGGATTTATCGGAGATCGAAGTTTGGGGCATCCAGGCGTGGGCTCCATGTATTGTATTAAGGACTTGGGGATAAATCATCTTGGAAGCCAGAGGCGACGACGAATTGTCTGAATCAGATTCCAGCGAGCACCGGACCTGTAAAGATGGCTTCTCGAAGCCTTTGCACCGAAGATCCCAGATGCTGACATTTCCATCCCGGCTGCAAGTTGCAAGGACTTTGTTATTCGCCGCTGGTTGGAATTGAACGCGCTTCACTGAGGATACATGGTTTGACAGACAGTATATCGGTTTCTGCGTAGCCATATCAATCACCAGTGCGGTTTGGTCTCCAGAAGCTGTTGCCAGTAGCATATCATCGGACGAGAATTCAAGATCCATTATTGCGTTCATGTGTGGACGAAACGTTAGGTACGCCTTGGAAAAGCCGCTTTTGTCGTCTTTGGCGGAGTCAAGTAATCGAATGCCTCCTTCTTCATCGCCTACCGCAACAAGTGAATTCGCTATAAGATTGGACAACAGTCAGCGGAATCGGCAATAAATGAGTGAGAGCGAAGATTGAAGACGAGCAGATCACATACTATTACATGTTGCAGTGCAGAAAGGGAGAGCGAGACGGTCCCCAGTGTAGCTCGCGCAGGAATGGCTGTCGGTCGATCGAGAGTAGAACGTGGAGGTCAAATCCTGCCATCCTGAAACATAGTGAGAATAGGGTAAGAAGGTCCAGTATGAAGAGATAACCAACCAGCCCCGGCATTGGATCGTATTGTGACTCGATTGGCCCGTGGTCCAGAGACGCTTCGCATGTAAAGCCCTCCGGATGTCTGGAGCGCGTGTGACCGCCGAATAGGCGCAATGGGAAGCAATAGCTTGCTAGGCATTGCAGGTTTATTTTCAAGATCTTGTGCGTCATTGCCAGCCTTGATATCCTTAACTGAGAGGCTCAACTCCTCTTCATCGTCAACAGGAAACCTGACACGAACTTTCCGCAATGGCGACGACTGTAGCGGAGAACCGACAGAGGAGAAGGATAATTTCCGCTTCCTGCTTGGAGTCCGCATGAGATCTGAAGAGTGGTTATGGACAGTTCTATTTCCCACTGCTTTCAATGCACGTGTGAAGGCTGGACCCAGACGGTTGACAGCTGGTGAGCTGAGCACCTTCAACGCCTGCCGATTCGTCCTAACCGTTCCCGCGCCATTTCCGCCGTTCAGCATCGAACGAGGAGTAAAGAACCGCCGGAAAGACCGTGGTGTGACTGGTGGAGGCTTCTTAGGTTTGCGTCGCATGCCAGCGTCTGATGCTATTGACGGTGGAGATGAAGGAAACTCCTGTGATGACGAGGCAGGAAAGACAGGTTCCGATCGAGGTACTTCGGGGAGGTCATGGGAGCTATCCATTGTGGGTTATAGGCAAACGAAAGACATACAAAGGCATTCTATTCAAAAAAAAAACAACAGACGAAAATAGAGGAATAGGAGCAGAATGGGCTAAATGGTGCGAAATTGCGGCATGGTGGGAGCTGGGGAATGGAGTGTAGTACTAGTAGTACCTAGGACTGCACTATCAACTATGCGTCGCGGGCAGCAGAACAAATCCGAAGCGAGTCTCGTGTCGACGTGCTTGTTTCGTGACGCGAGCTGCTGTTTCCGGTAGGCGGTGGACTCTTCAGTTAAAGTGATGGGGTTGTGCTTGATGCGGAAGGCGGTCTGTCATCATAGATCCAGAAATTTTTTGAATCCGCTATTTTTTTTTTGAACTGGTCCTGTTGAGCTAGCTGATTTGAAGGACGTCCAGCAAGATTGACACAAGGCCGCATCTGATTCTCTGGTGCCCCTTGTCTATCAGCTATGGCCCCTATCAAGCGCAAGGGCAATGCTGCGGAGCAGGCAGTGACTCGTCAGCCCCAGAAGCGCGTTCGAGTTGGAGCTGAAGAGGGCAGCAAAGATCAGAAAAAGCAGAGAACATCAGAATCTACCACCGACCCTAAAGCTACTGAACTTTCGGTGCTGCGCGATGACGAGCCTTCGTTTCCTCGCGGTGGAGGAAGCGTCCTGACACCTCTCGAAAAAAAGCAGATCCATATCCAAGCAACTAAGGATGTGCTCTTCGAGCAGAAGGGCTCCAAGAAGCCCTCTGACAATTTCGCCGATGAAGATGACGATGAAGACATTGAGATGAACGATGCGGATGACAATGCGACCTCTGCCAAACAGTCTCGGAAAAGAAAGACCAAAAGCAAGAAGCGCGCAGAGCAAGAAGCAAACGAGAAGCAAGGTGTGCGAATTGAAGGTCTCAACTTCAAGGTAGGCTCGGATTATGCGTGTGTTGTGGCTGTTATGCAAGGCTGACAATTGCAGCGTATTGTACCCGGATCGATGGTATTAGGCCAAGTGTCGAGCATTAATGCTCACGATATTGGTTTATCTCTTCCGAATAACCTCACCGGATATGTTCCCTTGACTGCGGTTTCCAAAAAGCTGGAAGAGAAGATTGAGAGGATTCTTAATGATGATGACAACGACGATAGCGACGCGGAAGAGGATTCGGAGGGTGAGGATTCGTTGGATCTGACCGACTACTTCTATCTTGGCCAGTACCTGCGGGCATCCGTTGTTTCTGTTGGGAGCAACGGCGCAGATGCTCCCTCGAAGAACAAAAAGCGTATTGAACTTTCAGTTGATCCAAGACAGACAAACACCGGGTTCTCAAAATCGGATCTGGAGGTCAATACTGCCGTTCAAGCTTCGGTTGTCAGTGTGGAAGACCATGGTCTGGTAATGGACCTGGGTATTGAGGGCGCAGACGTCAAGGGCTTCATGTCTAAGAAGGAGATCGACCCCAAGACAAACTATTCGAGCATCAAAGAAGGATCGGTTTTCCTGTGTATGGTCACTGGCCAAAACGCCAACGGAAGCGTTGTCAAATTATCCGCCAACCTTCAGTCCTCTGGATCTATCAAGAAATCACATTATCTCAGCACGGCATCGACAATTAACTCATTTCTTCCTGGTACTGCAGCAGAAATCCTGTTAACAGACGTTTCTTCCAGCGGAATGATCGGTAAGATCATGGGCATGTTGGATGCCACAGTGGACTTGGTGCAGTCTGGCGGCAACTCGGGAAAAGACTTAACAAAGAAGTTTCAGATCGGTGCCAAGATCAAGGCACGTATTGTGTGCACCTTCCCAGCTTCTGAGCCATTCAAAGTCGGCTTTTCAATACTCGACCATGTTCTGAAGTTTGCGACGGAGGGTCATGGACCTGGCACCTCTGAGGATGCACCGGCAGTTTCTGCAATCATACCTGAAACCAAGGTCGTCACCGTTGATCCTGGACTTGGTGTTTATGTGCAGATCGGCTCTACGAAACACATGGGCTTTGTTCATGTCTCCCGATTAGCAGACGGAAAAGTTGAAAACATCGCACCTGAACACGGTCCCTTCCGAATTGATTCCGTCCATGAGGCTAGGGTTGTCGGCTACAGTGCTCTTGATGACCTCTATCTGCTCTCCTTTGAGAGGAAGGTCATCGAGCAGCCCTTCTTACGTCTGGAGGATGTGACTGTGGGTGCTGTGGTCAAGGGAAAGATTGAGAAGCTGTTGATTGGGCCAACTGGGGTCGATGGTCTGATCGTGGCTTTGGCTGACGGTATCACCGGTCTTGTTCCCTCTATGCACTTCGCAGACGCGGCTCTCCAATTTCCTGAGAAGAAGTTCCGGGAAGGCATGATGATTACGGCTCGGATCTTGTCGGTCAACCTTCAGAAGCGTCAGATTCGCCTAACTCTGAAGAAGAGTCTGCTCAACAGCGAATCTGCCATCTGGAAGGATTACCAAGACATCGTTCCAGGCGCTCAGTCTCCGGGTACAATTGTGAACATTCAACCACATGGCGCTGTCGTCCAATTCTACGGCTCAGTTCGCGGCTTCCTTCCTGTGTCGGAGATGAGCGAAGCTTTTATCAAGGATCCTTCGCAACACTTTAGACAAGGGCAAGTGGTTAACGTTCACGCTTTGAGCGTGGATCCATCTCTTGAAAAACTAGCAGTCTCATGCAAAGATCCCTCGACATTCACCGAGACCTATAAGAAGGCGTTTGAGAAGATCCGGCCCGGGCTGCTCGTCACAGGAACGGTCTTTGAGAAGTCTAGCGACGATATCCTTCTCAAGTTGGACGAGTTCGGTCTTATTGCTCGCTTAGATCTTGCGCATGTGGTGGATGGTTCTGAATCCAAGCAGAGCTCGGCCCTTTCGAAAATTCGTGTTGGCCAGAAGCTCAATGATCTTCTCGTACTTGACATTCAGAGAGCCCGCAGACTCATCAAAGTCTCAGCTAGAGCGAGTCTCAAGAAAGCAGCCAAGCAAGGATTCCTCCCGGCTAAGTTTGAGGATATCCAAGAAGGCGCTGAAGTCACTGGCTTTGTCCGAAACATCACATCCGATGGACTGTTTGTCGAGTTCCTCGGTGGCATCACTGGATTGGTGCCTAAGAGGCTCTTAGCGGACGAGAATGCCAGTAAACCTGATTTTGGCATGGTCAAATCGCAGATTGTTGCTGCAACTGTGCACTCCATCGAAACCGACTTCCAAAGATTCATACTGAGCATGAAGCCTTCGGAAGCGACCTCGGCTGGTCCAAAGAAGTCCGCTAGCAAGCCCACTCCTTCGAACGATGTCCTCAGCAATGCTGTGGATGAAAGCATCGAGTCGATGTCCGATTTCACCTTTGGCAGGACCGTGAAGTGTAAAGTCGTGTCTGTCAAGGCAACCCAGGTCAACGTTCACCTTGCGGACAACGTGCAGGGTCGCATTGACGTCTCGGAGGTCTTCGATAAGTGGGAAGACATCAAGGACCGCAAACAACCATTGCGATTCTTCCGTCCCAAGCAAATCATCTCAGCTAGAATCTTGGGTATCCATGATGCCCGCAGCCACAAGTTCCTTCCAATCAGTCACCGGTCTGGGAAGTTCCCCGTTTTTGAACTTTCTATTAAGCCAAGTTTCCTACAGGCTGCCAATCCTTCCCCGTTGAACTTGGAGCAAGTCCAGGTTGGCTCAACCTGGGTCGGTTTCATCAACAACGTTGCTGACGATTGTCTCTGGATCAACCTCTCGCCCAATGTTCGCGGACGACTGCGGTTCATGGACGCTTCGGATGACCTGTCTCTTTTCACCGACGTGGAGAAGCATTTTCCGATCGGCTCAGCGCTGAAGGTCCATGTCACTGCCGTCGACACCGAAAAGGGTCGCCTAGATCTTACAGCCAAGCAACGCTCTAGCAAGCTGTCCTTCGCAGATATCTCTGTTGGCATGATTCTGCCCGGACGAGTCACGAAGGTCACCGAGAAGCAGGTCATTATGCAGCTCAGCGATTCGATCGTAGGTGCCGTCAATCTGATAGACTTGGCCGATGACTATTCGAAGGCGAACCCTACTGTCTACCACAAGAACGAGGTGCTCCGTGCTTGCGTGGTGGGTGTTGACAAAGCCAACAAGAAGATTTCCCTCTCGCTCCGCCCATCGAAAGTTCTGAGTTCCTCACTTCCGGTCCAGGATCCCGAAATCACTTCTATGAAGCAGCTCAAGGTCAATGACGTAGTTCGAGGATTTGTCAAGAGAGTGGCTGATAGCGGTCTCTTTGTAACTCTGGGCCACGATGTGACGGCCTACGTTCGGGTCTCTGACTTGTCGGATTCCTACCTCAAGGAGTGGAAGGACTCTTTCCAAGTCGACCAGTTGGTCAAGGGACGGGTGACCGTTGTCGATCCCGAGCAAGGCAGATTGCAGATCAGTCTCAAGGAATCTGTCTTAGATCCAGACTACAAGGCGCCCATCACGATGCATGACCTCAAAGTCGGTCAGGTCGTCACCGGCAAGGTTCGCAAAGTGGAGGAATTCGGCGCCTTCATTGTCATCGATCGATCTGCCAACATCAGCGGTCTATGCCATCGTAGTGAAATGGCTGACAAGCGAGTTGACAATGCCCGCACCTTGTACGAGGAAGGCGACGTTGTCAAAGCCAAGATCATCAAGATCGATCGTGAGTCAGGGAAGATTTCATTCAGCTTGAAGGCTTCCCACTTCAAGGATCATGATGAGGAAGATGAAAGCGGCAGTGACGAGGATGGTGACTCAGACGGCATCAGCCTAGATGGCATGGGCGGTGTCGACGTAGAAGGAAGTGACAATTACGAGGACGATGACGATGACGAATCTCTAAGAGGCGTCGATCTTGAGGAAGACAGTGAGAGTGATGGTGAGGAGAGCGATGAGGATGTGGAGATGACCAGCGCGCTTGTTGAAAGAGAAGGGGGCCTCGGTGCAACAGGCTTTGACTGGAGTGGAAACGTCAAAGATGATGAGGACGAAGCGATGCAGTCGGATTCCGATGGCGATGAAGACAACTCTCGGAAGAAGAAAAAGAAGAGCCGCAAGCCTGAGATCCAGGTAGATCGCACTGGCGAGTTGGACGCCAATGGGCCACAGACAGTTGCTGACTACGAACGGCTACTGCTCGGTGAGCCTGACTCTTCGCTTCTCTGGCTGAAGTACATGGCCTTCCAGTTGGAGCTCGGCGAGGTCGAAAAGGCCAAGGAAATCGCCGAACGTGCCCTTCGCACCATTAGCATCGGTCAGGACAGCGAGAAGTTGAACATTTGGGTGGCTCTGCTCAACTTGGAGAACACATACGGCAATGATGACAGTCTCGACGAGGTGTTCAAGCGCGCCTGCCAGTACAACGATACTCAGGAGATCTACGACCGCATGACGAGCATCTACATTCAGTCAGGAAAGAATGAAGTGAGTCACATCTGATATCAGTAATGAAGAGACGTTTTAAGTATGCGAAAGCTGACTCAATTGACCTTACAGAAAGCGGATGAGCTCTTCCAGACGGCTCTCAAGAAGAAGATCTCCAACTCGCCCAAGTTCTTCCTGAACTACGCCAGCTTCCTGTTTGATGGCATGGCGGCGCCTGATCGTGCTCGTGCTCTGCTTCCTCGCGCACTCCAGTCTCTGCCCTCTCACACACACGTGGAGACTACCTCTAAATTCGGTCAGCTGGAATTCCGCTCGTCAAACGGAGACGTCGAACGTGGCCGAACTGTGTTTGAGGGCCTGCTCTCCTCGTTCCCCAAGCGGATTGACCTTTGGAACGTGCTCTTGGACTTGGAAATCAAGAATGGCGATGCGGAGCAGGTCCGGCGGCTTTTCGAGCGCGTACTTGGTATCCGGGACGCCAAAAAGGGTGCTGCTGCTCCTATCGATGCCAGCAAGAAGCTCCGTCCCAAGCAGGCCAAGTTCTTCTTCAAGAAATGGCTGTCGTTTGAGGAAAAGCTGGCAGCTGCTAGTGGTGGTGATGAGAAGATGGTGGAGGAGATCAAGGCCAAGGCGGCAGATTATGTCAAGTCTCTGCAGAACGCATGAGCTTTGAAGACAATTGTGTAAAGAGTTTGATCTTGTTCTGTTCTCATTGGGTGTTATGGGGTCATAGATGCATTGTATATACAAAAGCATTCCGGAAGCCATGTCTTCTCATTCAATGAGCATGAAGACTTTCTTATGTATGTGGTGCGCAAAGTAAAGCATTCTCTTTTATCAGTGGCATAAAAAAGCCTCAAAAGGGTATTACATCTCAAGAGCCACAAATCCAGCAACTCAACGCCGCTTTTCAGCCATCAACCGCCGATACTCTTCCACAATAGTCCTCCGCTCGCTTGCCAGCTCCTCTCTCCGTCTCAGACTTCCCACGGCAGCAGGAACATTCGCGACATCGACTCTGGCTCCGCCGCGGACCTTGAAAACCTCCTTCGGCTTCGTCAATTGCGGCGGCGCCTGAACCACATCAAAGGGGTTCGCCGGTTTGTTCATCCGGTCCCGTTTCTTCAGCTTCGCCCACGGATCCGGACCATCATCCTCCTGGGGACCGTCGCCCTTCTTCTTTCTTCTCGCGGCAGCGCCCTTTTTCTTCGCCTTGCCCTTGCCAGCCTCCATCTCCCACTCCTTCCACAATTCCAATTGTTCCTCCATTTCGGCTTCCCGCTCCTCCCGCTCGGCCGCCTCACGCTCCAAGATCTCCACTTCCTCCTTCCGCCACTGCTCCTGTAATCGACGCAGGTGCTTCTCGTGCTTCGTCCGCCGCTCCTCGCGCAGCTTAGGCAGATCGGCCGACGCCGGCTTGCCCGACCTCTTCATCCCCGATATTGGCATCTCGCGATCGACCCGCGCAGCGAAATCTGACAATTTCTCCCCCGGGAGGATCTTCAGCTTAGACGTGGGCTTGGGTTCCGCGGCAGCGGTTGTAGATGTCGCGGCATTCGCGCTCGTAGTCGTAGTCGACGATCCAGCAGTCTTCTTCCGCGACGACTCTTTTCTGTCCTCGGTTGTATCGCGCTTGCGCTTCTTGCTTCCTGTCTCGCTGGCGTCGGATTTGGGTGGTGCTTGCTTGCCGCCGTTGGCTTGGAGCTGCATCAGCCGGCGGAAGGCGCGGGGGGTATCATCGTCCAGGGAGGATTTGCTGCGGGCAAAGGTCGAGGTGTTTTCTTTCTTTGCGTCTTTGGACTTGGGGGTGGGCTTTTTGCCTTTGGTTTTCGGGGCGTTGGGATCGCGAACCGGGAGAGGGTTCGCGATCATGGTGGGTGGGAGGTCGTAGATGCTGTGGTGGGATTAGCATTTTATGTATAACATTTGTTATGTCTGGGTGCTTTGGTACTCACCTCGAGTCATTTTTCCTTCTCTTGTGCTTGTGAGGCATGGTGGATTATTGGTTTTGTTGGTTGTGGTTGATAGAAACTGAAGCTGAGATGGGTCGGCGAACTTTTTTTCTTCCGTAGTTGGCGGTAACTATATCTAATCGCTATCGCTACTGATAAGGCTGCTTATATCCTACAAGCGGCACAATGCTACAAAATGCCACAATCTGGGTAGGTCATTACAAACCATATCTATGACCCTGTTGTATGGTATGTTTTCGCTTCAAAAGAATCGAGTTTCATGATAATAGCACCAATGTCGGTGATTATATTAATGCTTCCGTAGATAGGGTAAAATCCAGAAGTGAATCAGCCTGGGTCACTCCAGTCCCTGTCCAGAGATGGCACTTGTTACAACGTTTGTCATATAGGCTTGCCATGGCTACTAAGGCAATAATGTACGCTGCCAGATATTCCTCTTATCATCGTTAGTGAGGATCGTTCTAGACAAGTGATACTGGTGGATTAATATGTACTAGTAGTGTCCTCGGACATGACCAATATCCTCCGGTTTATACTCTGCCAATTTAAAGCGACACTTTCGTCCGGTCATGCGGGCAGAATGACTTTTCCATTTCACTACTGTCTCGGACTGGAGTAGTTCGGCTCCATCGACTGGACTGGACTAGATTGAATTCTAAATGCGTCATTAATGATGCTTGAGAGAAACGCTATTTGTGCGGCAAATGGCGCAGTAGATGAGAATCAGGCATCAGAATTCAGAATGCAGGCCACAACTTTTGTCCCGATGCCAGCATGGCATCCATTTCGAGGTTTACCGATAATATCCACGGAACAGCAGTTATTGGGATCAACCTCTTTGAGGGCCCCTCTGTCGATCAGCTGCTTGTCCATCATTTATCTCGATGCTCATATCACGAATGTTGGGAGCTGTTTTGCGGTGTAGACGCCCATGTCAGTAAGTATTGAGGACGGACTTGGTACCAACTACCAACTCTATACTAAATCCTTTCAACCCATAAGATTCAAGCCTTTGGGAGTGGAGTGAGACCCCTCGGCTCGGAGAGGCATAGAAACCAACGAAACCGGCACGAATCGCCTCTTTTGATGGACTTTTTGAACGCCGGCAAGCCTCTTCGTCGGTCCACCGTCCAATCGTCGTCCCTATTGCTGCACATGGGGATGGGTCAATCCAGGGTCCAACAATCACAGCGAGCTAGCAAGTGACTAGAGACCCCGGACAGACTCTCAGGCTACCATAGTTCGCCCCCAATAATGTTGACGTAGAGTAGTAACTTAGGCGTCCGCTTTTCGGCAGAGGGTCTAGGTGCGCAACTGTTGACCTTTACCCCTCTCGAATTATAAATGCACATGAGATGACTGTTCTTGTACGATCTTCTGTTGGAGACTGACGGTGGATTGAGGTGGTTGAAGTAGTCCTCGACAGTTGGTATATCAGTCACTCACTCGTCATGGGCTTCTTGTCCGCCCGCAACGGCCGCTCCCCGCAGTCCTATGAATTTGTCCCGACTTCCCCTCCCTCAGACGACCAAGACGAACTGCAACGCGATAAACCAGACATTCATGTTTCTATCGAGGAATTGCCGGCAGACATCTATTCAATAGACGAATCTCAATGTTCGGGCCAAGCCCGATCACAGTCCACATGGAGTCGACGACTGGCTGCGATTACTTCGCTCTGCTCATCAAATGACGAGAAGATCGAAGATACTCTACCTTTGCTCTCATCGACCACTAAGCGCTCAAGAAGCTCATTTACTTCGTATAGACGGTTCAAGAATCTCAGGGTATCCTATTGCTTGCTTTTTCCTATTGCGGGGGTTTTCATCATGCTGTGAGTCCTTGTCCTACCCTACTATCACCACCACCCATCGCCGCGCCAATGACCACTAATCGTTGTTCAAACCCATAAAGAGGAATCATCCAGTTCATCTCCATAGCTTGTGGCATTGTACTCTCATTTTTCCCCGACGAATTTGACAAAGCGGCCGGCCGTTGGCGCCACGTTCCGGACAACGACCTTTACGCAGACATCTCGCATTGGCCCACAGATATCTCGCGGGACATCATCCCTGTTGGGTGCCATTCACACAATGACTACTGGCGACGGGTGCCCCTATACTCGGCTTTGCAGGCGGGTTGCATTGGTGTCGAGGCCGATGTGTGGCTCATTGACAACGAGCTCTACGTCGGCCATACCTCCTCGTCCCTCACCGCAAAGCGCACCCTCAAAACCATGTACATTGACCCCTTGATCAGGATTCTTGAACAGCAGAATCCCATCACACAGTTTCACCCAGCTGTCGACCAACCCCTACATGGCGTCTTCGACACCGATCCTTCCCAATCCCTCATTCTCCTCATTGACTTCAAAACCGATGGAGAAAAGACATGGCAGCACGTAACGGAGCGTTTGTTGCCTCTACGCGAGCGCGGTTACCTCACATACTTCAACGGCACCGACCTGATCAACGGGCCAATCACGGCCGTCGGAACGGGAAATACCCCCTTCAATATGGTCACGTCGAACTCAACCTATCGCGACATCTTCTTCGACGCACCGCTGGACCTCTTGGCCGAGCACGAGGGCATTACTCCTTCTCCAGATGCTGACGACGCCGCCAACGCTGACGTCCCGCAAGACCGGGCGGCCACCGCCAAGCAATCCACCGGAAACGCCGGCCAAGGCCTGTCAGGTATCTCGGCCGGCGACATTGGCCCCGACACCTTCAACTGGACCAACAGCTTCTACGCCTCTGTCTCGTTCAAGAAGTCCATCGGGTTTCCCTGGAGGTTCCACCTGACAAGCCAGCAGATGGATCTCATCCGGGCGCAGATCCAGGGCGCTCATCGTCGAGGGCTCAAGGTGCGTTACTGGGGATTGCCTAGCTGGCCTCGGAGTCTGAGAAACCACATCTGGAGCGTTCTGGTGCGTGAGGGCGTCGATATTCTCAATGCGGATGACTTGCAGAGTGCCACGAAGCAAGAATGGAAGGTCAAGATTTTTGATTGGTAGGATGCGCTCTGTTTTACCGGCTGTCGAGCTGGCTCTGAGATGGCTGCTGGACGATCATCCTTGGCCTGATTCTCGATGATATGACATGGCATCGCTGCCATTGTGCCACCCTCACCTGAAATGATGAACGAGTCTTTGGTTATGAATTTGACTTCCTCATGTTGTTCTACTTTCTGATTGACGATATTTGCGAGTTCACGGCGTCGGTTCCGGATGTCCAATAGATGATACCTTGGGCTTGCTTTTCTAGTTTCTGTTTTGTCCCCTTTCACGTCTATCCTTTTATAGATCAATACGATTTAGACTCGAAGAAACCATATTTAAGAGGATGCTCAAAAAATGCTTGGATATATTTCAGCTTGGAGCAAAATGATTCGTTTGAATAAATCACACCGATCAATGATATGAATGTGCTGATGCAAGATGATTCTGGGTATCAATATGGGTCTCATCGTATATCTTCAGCCGGCACTCGCCATGAACGAGTCGCACTGGAAGACAAAATAAGAATAAGTACTTTTTGCTAGAAAACAATGCAGAAAGAAACGATGATCATAGACACATCAAAGACTCTTCTCCAAACTCCTTGAGAATGGTCCCCTCGTCACGTAAAATACCACCGAGCCAATTTTTGGCCGTCTCAAAGTCATTCGCGCCGAATTTCACAAGGACGAAGCCTCCCCTTACTCGCGCCGCAGTGAAGGTCACTTCCGAGTCTGCATTTGGCGGCATCTCCACAGCCGCAGGGGCAGAGGATGACCAATTTCGAGCCCCGATGCGTGGTTGCGACGTGAACCTATTCATGAAGAATGATGCTAAATCTTCAAACACAGGACCGTACAGAATAAGGGTGCCTATGATCCCGTGGGGTCGCGTACGCTCCCGGATCAAGTTGCTGTGGCTCAAGGTCTCCGAGTCGTTCTCAAGACATACTGCGTCGATCTCGTCATCTAATATGATTGAGTCGCGGAGGAGGAGCTTCTTCTTGCCCGAGGTGTCGTGTGTCCAGACTTCGTTCTTCCCCTTCCAGAGATGGAAGTCCCAATTCTCGCCTCGTGAGGTGCGGCCCTGCGTCACCCAGTCCAGCACACACAGGCTACTTCTCTTGTAGTCTTTTGATGTCCCGTCGACGGTGAATGATTGTACCTGCTCGTAGCGACTGTCCTTGAAGGGCACGGCTGGGTCTGGAAGGTAACAAAGAGCGGCTTCGCTGGCGATCTGTACATTTACTAGCTGGCGGCTCTTGTCTGTTGATGCGCGTGCTGGTGTTCCCCGTTGGCCCTTGACGCTGGCAGTAGGCTCTGTCTTGAAGATCTTGGTGCTTCCCTGAGGTGTGGTCACAACGAGTCTTGTGCGGGGATCCAACGTTATCGAGACATCAATATGATCGCCTGGTAGAAGACCTCCGCCATATGTGAGAAGATAGAGATGAACAGGTCGAGAAGGGCTTGTCAGCCCGGAGGATTGGGGCACAAAGCCGGGGGCGCGCGTAAGCAGCTTCAGTGGATATTTGTAAGTCAAGGTCGTCAGGGTCGGGATCGAAGGAGGAAGGAGAGATAGAACGACTTTGCCATGGCCTGGTTTGGCAATGGACGACTCAAACGGGGATATTATCGGCATGGTGTCTTATCTTTCTTCAAGGATTTCTAGGCAAAGGGGCTTAGGACGTAGGGAGAAAGGGGAAAATAGACACACTAGGTGGCTGTGACTGCATGATATACTCCGTAGACGCAGACAGAGAGGATGCAATCAAATATGCTGTGCAGGATGGCGTCATGAAGATTCCTTTTATGCGCTCTTCTCGTTCCTGATCTTTTCTGGGGCAGCCAAACAGTTGTCGACCTGTCCCAGTCGCCAGTCCTATCGCTTCTAAACTAGCAGCT